ACATACACACACACATGTATATATACACATATACATATACATACACACACACACACATATATATATATATATATATATATATATTCAATATAGGTTTTTGTATATATCCAGAATGCACAATTACATGTTTGTGGAACTTAACTTATCTTATCTTGAGTAAATCAAGGTTTCTCATTTTGATCTTAGGAGATAATGCATAGCCAAGTCAAAACTGTGTTTTGGTAAATGTTTTCCCCAAATATATAATTACATCAGAATAATGTGTGCTCTTCAATGTCCTATTCAAGGCCATGATGCAACATAAACAATATAACAACTTTGTAGTAGATGCTTTACATACACTACAATATTATTATAGAGCAGTTGGATAGATTCTTTCTGGTTGCTTAAGCGAAATGTACTTGTTAGATAATCTAGATTAGTCTACTATATGCTCTGATCTAATTGTTATTTTTTAAAAACATTTTTAAAGTTAAAACACATACTATATATTTAGATTAATTTTATGTTCATGTATAATAAAAGCATTGCTAAGACAAGTGCCATCCGCTGGTTGAGCAACTTAGATGAAGCAGTGGAATGGACGAAAGTACCTATATGTGTAGATTCCACCATATTGCCCACACTAAAAAAACTTTCTGCGCCTGGCCTATCGGAGCAAATTCCCCAAGCGCTCCAATCAAACGAAAGGCTGCATTATCACAAATCCGAGAGACCTGGTCAAACAAGAGAGGCCAAAGCTTTATCCAAATCTCACACACCGCACACTGTCCATTGGTCGAAAGCGCACAGCTGATTAAAACGTGGCAGCACCAAAACGCGCCACGTACTGAGCCAGGTAGATGACGGAACGATACGTGGCGCAGACGGAATATGCTTTTGGCGCCGCTTGAATCTTTCTTCGCTCCTCGGTGGTGTGAGCGTTTAGCGAGGGCGCGGGCGCGGCGACAGCGATGGCGCAGTGAAAGTCTCCACTCCTCTTTCCACGCGCGTTGCGTCTCGCCGCCGCGATCGATCGGCGTCTCGGATATTTAGGGTTCTTTGTGCGAGGTGAATCTCTAGATCCGGCACTGTCTTGCATTGGAATTCGAGAATGCGCGGAGCTCACGTGATTCTTTGGATCGCAGGGCAGTCTGGAAGCGATCTTGCGCGTCAATTTTCTTGGAGGGTAAGCTGATCGGGTGCGTTAGCCTGCCAATGAGCAGGGATTGACAGGCTCGATGTTGGAGTCAGCTCGAAATTTCCTCCACTCGATCTTTGCCTCTTCTACTAACAATCCGGTTTCTTTAGTGAAATCCTTCTTATGGAGCCCAAAGGTCCATTACCACGTCTTAGAGGATTTCTTTTCTTTTTTTTTCTTGCGTTAGCTCCTCAAGTTCTTGTTCTAAACTTCGACTTTCTTTTTTTTCTTGCAGATCCTCCATCGACCGAGGTGATTGTCTCGGAACTCGACGCTTCTGACGTGGTAATCTTTGTCAATACAGAGAAAAATCATACTCATCTCTAGAGCTTACGTTTGCAGCCTGCTTCTACATCGTCTCAAGATGGATCGACCATACCAGTTGCGACCATCAACGAAGTTTCTACGAGATTAGCTCAAACAGCGTCTTATGTTGGTCGCAGGCTTATCAGCTTACTTGGTATGTTCTTCTCACATTCATATGTTGGTAATTCCCTTTCGTTTTTCTTTTCACGTAGACGAGTCCGTGGAAGAACCTGCGGGAAGCATGGGACAGGATGTTAGCGTCAGGCAAACAACCGTAGCAGTGGAATCAACTCCATCGAGCAGTGGAGAGTCACGCATGATCGTCACTACTCAAAACGGGATTTCCAGCAATCCGGTGGAGCGAGCGACGTCCCTTTGGGCTGCATTGGGTCAAAGCTTTTTGAACTCCTCTCCCGCTCCGTGGCAAGGGTCAGTGTTTTCGTTCCTGGTAAATCTGATTTGAGTTTCATGTCTGGCTGCTTGAGTCCTAGATCTTCTAACTCCCTTAACTCGAAGACCTTCCCTTTTTCCCAGGTTTTGTCCTGTTGGATGTGCTTTGCGAATAGCATTTGTTTGCACCAGAATGGCTTACTTGCGTTTTGCATGCGGTCATGAAAAAGTGAGAAGGTAACGGAGTGTGCCAATACTGACTGTCATTTTTCGTCACTGTTTGATTTTGGCCGGTTCTAAGGAATTCTGTATCTGCAGACTTATGACACGAGTGCAAACTACACTCAGGGGCTCTGCTGATGATATTGGATGGTTGCAAAAAACGCCGGGTTTTCCACCAGTGGAAGACGGAACGCAAAGGTTTGAGGAAATTCTTGGTGACATAAGGTATCCAATTCTGCTTCTTGCGTGTAAGGTTTACTCTAATACTTGTAAGCTTGCAGTCACGGTCTTCACGCACTACCCAATGATTACGTATATCTTTTGGTTCCTGGTAAGTTTCTCTACTGTCCGTTGTAGTTCACACGTCTAATGACGATCTTGCAGGGCTCTTTAGCAACCATGGACCTCTGTATTTTGTGGATACAAAGAGATATTTTTCTAAACTCGGCTTGACTTGTCATATTGCTCGAATACATAGTGAGGTATAACATTCTCTCTTTTCTTGGGACTTCTAAGATACCAGTGCTCTTCCATAGGCTGCGGTGGAAACGAATGCACGAGAACTCAAAGATTACATCGAAGAGTTATACTGGGGAACAGGAAAGAAAATCGTGCTGCTGGGTCACAGCAAAGGCGGAGTTGACGCAGCGGCAGCAGCATCGATGTTCTGGCCCGAAATCAAAGACAAAGTCGTGGGCATCGTCTTGGTACAAAGTCCGTATGGAGGCAGCCCACTTGCTTCCGACATTCTTCGCGAGGGCCAGATTGCCGACGTAGAGACGAGGCGCATCATGGAGCTTCTTATCTGCAAGATCATCAAGGTAACGTAGTAAGCTTTCTTTGTTGATTCATTCTAAACTTTTTTCTTCTTCCCAGGGAGACATGACCGCGTTAGAGGATCTAACGCACGACAAGAGAAGGAAGTTTTTAGCAAAGTATCCTCTGCCGCCTGATCTACCGGTGGTGTCATTCCACACGGAAGCAGGGAAATCGCCCGGAGTGCTCTCCACGCTCTCTCACATTGCTCACGCGGAACTTCCGTGGCTCCCGCTAGCTGGAGCAGCATCAGAGGCCCCTGCCACCACTGCCAAGCTTCCCGTCGTGCTTCCATTGGCTGCTGCTATGGCAGCGTGCGCGCTGCATTTGGAGCTGCGATACAGCGAGAAGAGTGACGGCCTGGTGTCACGCAAAGACGCTGAAGTTCCAGGCTCGGTGGTGGTTCGACCAAACAGGAAGCTGGATCACGCGTGGATGGTTTACTCGACAGATCCAGAGGCGTTTCGAATGTGCGAGGCTCTTATGAGCTTGCTGCTGGAGGTGAGCCACAAGAAGAACAGAGCGAGCGACAGTGGGAGCTGCAGCAACACCACCAACAGGGAATGCAGTACAAGCGATGGCAAGGAATAGCGCATGTAAATTTTTTGAAAAGATTCAATGTAAATTTAGAATTCTTTTAGAATGACCTTAGAATTTAGAAAAACTGAGATAAACATTTTTATCAGAAAGAATTATTTGATGTTATAACATACATGGTCTTTTTAATAATTTACAAATAGAGATAATTTGTTGATGGGCGGTGAATTTACATTTAGAAAATTATATATTTAAAAATTACATTGACAAACATTTATGCACTTTTCGTGATGCCCCATTTAACAAAAAAAAAAAAAAACCATTGCCAAAGCTAGATAGTAGTAGTTATGAGGATATTTATGCATATATTAAAAGTTATATGATATTTTAACGTTAATTATATATTATTTGAATATTAAATAATTATTAAGACTTTCACACAAAAATATAAAAATAAAAATCATTTAAAGATTTCTCATCAATAACACGATCAATTGACGTTAAAACTTATCTAACGCAGGCAAAGTGCCACGGCCGCACACCGATTCTGTGCGGTTGGTGCGATGGCGCGTTAGAAGTTGCAATTAAGTGCGCACTGGAGAGAAAAGCCTATCTAGCGCACCGGAGACAAAATTTTAGTACATTTTAAAATAATCTCTAGTAAATACTTAAAGTTTTTTAAAATAATAAATATTAAGCAATGAATTCTTTATAAGATTCAATATTAGAACACAATATACTAAAATCTTAGTAATTGAAATTTTTTAAATATATTTATCAATTTTATCATAAAACTTTTGTAAATATAAATTACTTTAAAAATTAAAACTTTATAATATAAAAGCTTTTAACAATTTATTATATTTCTTAATTAAAAAAACTTAGAGTTTTTTAGGTAGTCAACAAATCTATAGCAGTATTGTGAAGACATATAAACAATATTTTTTCAATTTTTATTGAAATAATTATTTACATATCAAAATCTAAAACCTAACAATATATAAATTTTTGTTTGTTTATTTCTTAATCAAGCATAAAATTTTATAAATTGATATATAACACTAAATATATATAAATTTAAAATTTAAATACTAAAAATATATTTTACATAAAGACTCAATATAGTCATAGTATTTTATGTCCTATGACCAATTCGATCATTAAACATCGATAAAAGTTTTGCACTTTTCTATATAAATATCTTTTATGGATGATAAAAATTTTAATTTTTTTTCATATTTCATATCTAATAGGATTAATTTTAATAATAGTAATAAAATACATATATCTTTAATATTTAAGCATATTTAATCAAAGATATAAAAACTATAATACATATCCTTAATTTTAATATATGCAAAAAAAATTAATATTTGTTAAGTATAAATAGTAATACATTATTAAATTTATTTAAACAAAAAAGCAAGGCCATGCATTGCATCTATAAATGGTTAAAGAGCTTATATTACATCATTACAATAGTAAGATCAATAAACAAGTATGGGTGAAAAGAAAATATCTTCATCACAATAAAATATGCATCAACAATCATAAAAATTGTTCGAAGTAATGAAGTGTAAAAAATAAAAATCAAAATATTTAATTTATAATTTAATAAAGAATTCTAACAGATTCAAAGGATATAAATTATAAAAATTAATAATTTGTAAGGATGGATATATGAACTTCTTTTAGTTAAATATATCATAGTTTAATCACAATAGTTTTATAAATCCTTAACTACAATTCCAAACCAATTTAAAAATAAAAATACTTACTCTTGCAAAAATGGAACTAACAAAAACCCAATAAAGAAAATTTTGTGTTTAAAAATGTATCAATATAATTAGTAAAAAAAATTAAATTCACAAAATAATAAAAATTTATTTTATAATATAATCTCTAATACTAAACCTTAACACTATAGGTTCAATTGGATCATACAACTTATAATTTTTATTTTAACTTTTTGGTAACACCAAATTCTATATTAAAATTAGAAAGAAAATATTATATAATCAAAACTTTTAGTATATATTCTCTTAGCTAATTGAGTACTACCTTTTGGATAATTCATAAAACCTTTATTAAGATAAATATATTAAATGCTTATAAGCACAAAAAGTATTTTATCTAAGTCTTGGTATGAATTCAACAGAATCTTTATCAACAACAAATATCAGTATATTTGATGATTGCAATCTTATTATTTCTAAATAATAATATATTATCATTTATGTCAAACAATATCTTTTATAGTCAAGAGGCTCCAAGGCCTACAGGTTTTTGACTTATTAGAAAACAAGAGAATCATTTCTAATGAGATCATTAGCTTCACATAGCTTGTAGATATTAATTTCAGCCATAACTAGAACCACATAAGCTTTTAACATATTGACTTTTTGCAACCCAGCAACTCTTCAGGAACAAGATTCAAAACTTTATCCTAGCCTCTATAAACTCTTTCTCTCCATCTCCTCATCATGTTGAGGGTAAATAACAAGGACCTAGATGTTCAGCAAGAGAGGGAACTGCTCATCTCTCATGTTCCTCCCAGCTATCTTGGTGTCTTAGTTGAGATTTACAAGATCCAAAGAATTATATTGTCTTATATGGCTATAACATCTATCTGGACAATAAACCATAACTTCATTCTAAGAGCAAATTCCAAACTCATCAACTTGAATGTGTCAATTTGTAGCTTTACAAGGAGCCTTTTAGAGGAGATTACCAACCTCTTTAGCTCATTCAGCCTTAATGTCTTGCATAATAAGTTATCAGCAGAATTTCTACCATCTATAAGAAAATAAATCTCCATCTATAGTGGTAGTTATGTTGTTCAAACGAAAGTTGAGCAACGATATATTTTTGAGTATAATACCTCCAATTAAAATGTAATGATGGATGATTGGAGGGGTGTTAGAATTTCAAAGTATATTCTAGTATTCTAACTTTCTAATATAAACCCTATTTTTAGTTATTTTTTAAAGATGAATAATCATTAGAAAAGATCTCAAATTTATCATTTTCATCAAACATATTCAAACTTTATTCTGTACTCATTATAAGTAAACTTATCCCAGAAGGATAATTTCTATAGCCCAAGTTGAGAGTTTTAGGAGTGGACCACTCACTTTACTCAAAAAATCTTTATTTTCTTACTAGAACAAGATTTAGAAATAATAACACATTAATTAAAGTAATGAAATGAGAGTCTCCTAAAGATCTCTCTCAAAATCTAAAGAGTGCTTACTTACAAGAGGTTTTTCTTTTTTATTCTTTCACATGAAATAAAATCCACAAAGAAAATTGCTTTCTCTAGATTGTTGTGGTTGATATTTAGAAACACCTTCATTTTGTAACTTAAAGGTAATTGATAGTTGCAGTTCCATGTAACTAGTCCTTCTGGCCTAGAGTGTGCTATTGATTCCATATTTTTCCCTAACATTTAACAATAAAGTCATTGAATAAGTGTATGGAGAATCTTGGGTGATTTATTCCTTAATAATATTTTTTGTAGCTCATTTTAATTTCTATTTATGTCATGGCTATTCCCTACTGCCACAAAATATGTTGGTGCTATAAATCCCTCCCTTGTCAAGTCAATCTTTCTTTGCCTTGAAAGAGAGGGGTAAACACTGATTAATCAGTATATATTCTAGATTGTATTTAGCCTTTTTTTTTTTTTTGCACAACTAAACTTGAGTTGCCTAATAGAATTTCTAGATCCTGCTTAGTGTGGTGTTGAGACAAGATCTTTTTTTTCATATCTAGATTTTTAGTTGATAAAAATATGTGGTTGATAAAATTCAAAAATATTTTCCTTGTAATTAAATTTTCTAGAAAATTATAAGAAAAATATGATTACCTGATGGCACATTATATGGGGAATCTCTCAAGAGGGGAGGTATACTAGAGTGGGCAACGTGGCAAAAAATTAATTATACTACAAGATAAATCAATTTATATAACTCACAAAATAATCTTTGGATGGAATGCATTAGCATACATGTCACATTTGCATGGTTTTTTACATATCAGCACCATGAATGAATTCTTTATGTGCCTAGCTATAGTAACTCAATATGAAAATATGTTTGAAGAAGAAGAATTGGCCAATACATTAATTGTTTTAATTGTAACATTATAAGTATGACTTGTATTGAACCCACACAAGGATATGATTACATTGAATTTTTTTGATGAGCTGCCAAACTCAATCTCCATGGTGTAAGTGTTGCTGATTGAGGCCACTAATAATGGAGGTGGGTGTGATTGTTTTTTTGGCACTCATCCTCTTTGGCTAGGGATGGTTGAGGGTTTTAGGTTATTTAAACTTAAATATCCTTGAATTTAAATAATATTGGGATAAATGGCTTCCTAGGAAATTTAAATTCTTGAGTTTGAATGATATTGGGGTAAATGAAGAATTCACATTAAGTCTAGGCTAGATACAGTAGATGGAGTTACATAATTGCTTTATATAGGTGGAATGGAATCACTTTAATAGATTGCTTCTTTCTATCCATACATTTTTGCACTAGAATCCTTGATCATCTCTCCTTATGGAATGGCAAAATCTTGCATCTTGCTTTTAATCTTTCTATTACATTCAAGAATTAGACAAGATTGTATTCCCCTAGATTCAACATTGTCACAGTGCTATAATTTTAGTGTGCAATATTTAATTCTATGAAAAAGGAAGATGGAATCATTTAAGAAAGAAACATGTAGAGAAATCACTTTTATTTAGCTTGGCTTGCATATCTAATTTGACATCTTATGGACAACCCCATCTAGCATGGCTATACCAATATTATAAAAGACACAATCACATTTAAATTATAGCAATGAAATATAATTGTATGTATTACAATTTAAATTTTTTTTAAATGAGTAAATGTTAATGCTCACAAATATGCCATCACCTCTTAATTCAATAAAAGTTTTTATAATGATTCTCTTAAGTAAACTATATTCAAAATATACTTAGATATTTTAGGATATTTTATTATTATTCATTTAGATTAATATTTTATTCATAATTTATAAATATGTTTATAAATCATAAACTTCCCAAAATACTTTCTAGTATATTCTAGTTTAGTAATAGTTTGATATAAGTATTTTAAATTATAGTTATAAAAAATTTATATAAATAAAATGAGGCTTAAGATAAGTTTTATAACTCATGCATGAATATGGAAGAGTAGAGTTGGACTTTGAACATTATAATTACTATACTACACTCTAAAATATGAAAGAGTAGATTGGACTTTGAACACCATAATTCAAACCTAATTTAGTATTATTCAAACCTAATGACATTTAATGCCAAGTATATTAAAACTTTTAATTGATTCAAAAAAAGGATGCACTTTTGTTCATCAACCCTTTCCTTCATATTTGACCTTTAATGCATCGTCTCTTGAGTCATTCTTTTTAATCTTCTAGCAAAAATTTGAGAATTCTTAATAGTTTTGTTGAATACAACTTGTGATAAATTATTTTAACTATATTGTAAAAATAATTTATTGATTATATATATATAATTTTAAGAAATAAAGTGTGCATAAATAAAAGTAAGTTGATATGGAGGATAATTATTTGATATTAATAATAAATAATTAGGATTTTAGTCCAGACTTAAAAATTTAAATTTTTAGCTGGACTTTTAAAGTCTTTTAAACCAGTTCTATATATATATAATGAAGAATTCACTCCTTAATTTGATGCAAGCTTGAAAATATTCTATAATAAATCATCCCATATACTATTTCAGACTGATTTATTTGTTGACTTGGACATGTAATCGACACAAACTTATAGGTTTCTTGTACACAAAAGAACCTAGAATAAAATCGAAACTTTATAAATTTAGAAAGAAATTCTCTTCCAAGTTAACTAAAACTAAATCTTATAATGATTGTAATCGACACAAACTTATAGGTTGCTTGTACACAAAAGAACCTAGAATAGAAAGAAATTCTCTTCCAAGTTAACTAAAACAAAATCTTATAATGATTATAATTTTAGGTTTCTTAACACGGAAAACAAAGATTCCGCAGCCAAAGGCTGTTGCGAGCATTGCACGGGAGAGACGACTCTTTGCGAGGACTTGGGATAGGGGGCTGCCAGGCCTTGTAAGCTGAGGGCGGCAGAGAAGAGGCAGTGGTGGCAGCGATGGCGATGGAACATAGACTTGGTTGGTGAAGTTGATTTCCGCAAGGTGGCCGAGCTGCTCGTGGAAAGTGGAGTGGAACTTCTAAGGTTCTGGACAAGGTGTTTGGTGTGGTGGATGGCACCTCAGGCGATGCGAGCACGCGGCAGGATACACATCCAGTACGTGCCTCATGACAGTGCATAAATCCAATCCTTAGCCACTCTCTCAAAAGCCTACTGGACCACTTATGCCAACCAGAGCTATCCACGTACACGAAAGTTTATAAAGAAACTAACCCTTCCCTGGACAGGACAAAAGGGTAAGGATGTTGTTCGTTTAGAATATTCTGGAGGAATATTATAGTTGATACAGGTGGCGGTAACGGCTGGAAGTCCTGCTTATCTCCACTCCATGAAACTTGTCTTGGAGGTATAGGCGATTTGTCCTGCCATTGTAGATTTCTTACAGGTAGAAACATCACATTTCTTTTTTTACTGTTCTTAGAGCACGAGCGGCACTGAAGAGGAGGTGAGCCACAAGAAGAAACAAAAAAGATCCACTTTAAATTTTATGTTACATATTTATTTGAAAACAAGAACTATTCGGGTACCCCACAAAGGTGGCAACGATCTTGGGTGTGGAAATTTGCGATCTGGGAAGGTGAAAAGTCATTTTTGGCAACTGTTACTTTTTATTTTCTAGAGCCGTTGTTAAAAAAGAATCAACACGTTGTTGAATTGTGTTCTCTTGACCAACTGCTAGTTGGCTAATTTGATTCCTTCTAAGATAATTATCGTGTCCCACGAGAAACGTGCTTGTTCCTTTGAAAGTGGAACAAGCAAGCTGAAATGCTTTAGAAAGGAAAATTAAATGTTTCATAGTCATCCTTTACGTTTCCGCTTTTTCACTTTTAGGGCTCTCGTGACCTGGCAAGACATCCATTTTGCCACGTGTTATGTGAACCCTTCTATTCTTTATCTTTGCTTTTAGGGCAAGCATACTCTTATCTAAACACTCAATTCTCGTTGCTAGATCGCGGCGCTGGATTAGATCGCGATTCCCAGATGACAATCCGCATAGCACTGGGCGCGGCGATGGAGCACGCCGCTAGATCAGCCTCAGATGAGCTATGGATCACGATTTCGTCCCTTGTGGCCAGCGCAATCGTGATGGGAGACGTGATCTGCAAGTCCCTACTGCAATGGGGCGTCAATCTCATGTCTCTCATCTTCTTCAAGGCTATGGTCTTCCTCAATCCCAAGCTCAGGGCCGGCCAGCAATCCCAGCTCCTCCACGTCCTCTCGCGAGCGATGGAGAATTTCGTCCAGCGGGGGAGCCTGGACGAGCAGCTCATGAGGAGCATCGTGACGCTGGTGTCGCCGGATCGCGGCACTTGCCTCCTCCTCACCTATCTGATCGAGGCATTCACGGCAGGGTTTGTCCGCGGCGGCGAGGGATCCAGAATCCCCAAGCCTAGGGCCGCCGACCCGGACGAGGAGAGGAGAGTGGCGCTGGCGCTGATCAAGCAGTATGGGATCCACAGGGCGGCGGTGGCGGCAATGCCTCCAGAGGCGAGGAGGGCGATCCTCAAATCGCTGGGAGGAGCAAGAACAGGGTCCGCGCGGGATGGAAGTGGGGGGAATTCCTCCTCGCCGATTTGCTGCATCACGCTGGAGCCCCTTTTGTGGCCGGATTCCACAGTGGCCGAGGACGTTCTAGCGGTGATCCAGCGGAGCCAGCGCCGCGACGGGGACGAGCACGCCTTTCTCTATCGCGGCTCGGCGCTCTTGGATTGGCTTGGGCGGCAGGAGGTGCCAATGAGCCCGGAGACGCGATCGATCATCAAGCCCAGTGATATCTATCGCCTTTCGTGATGGGCGAGCTCGATTTACTCCCGGGAGGATGGGACTAGGGTTAGGGGTCTGGTAGATCCATCGCCACCGCCAGCGCAGGGCAGGACGACCTATAGCTCCCTTGTACAGATCATCAAGTTGCGGCTTGAATCTTCACAATCTTTTAATTGAGATGTATAACAATGGTTGACAGCGTTGAGGAGTGCTTGATCTACTTTGCAAAGGGTATTATCTAGCGCATGCTCGCAACATATGGCATCTTGATGGGGTTTGAGAAAAGGAAAACGTTTTAGAATTGGGTGTGTCTAAGTTGTAAGTTGTAAAGGGTTTTTCTTAGTAGCGTTGGGCATAGTTGACGAAGCTAGTATCAGCAGTTGCCTTGACCGGGCATTTGGATGCGAGATGGGACTTTCGTAGAACATGAAGTGATTATGATCATTAGAACACCATCGCCTGCCGAGAGCAATTCAAAGACAACGTTCTTGGTATCAACATATGGTCAGGCATAGGCAGACGTTTCGAGCCTAGCGGATGCGAATGCCACCGAGTCCGACACAGGCATACAAGAGAGAGTTCCCGACTTCTCGGACAAATCGATCTCGCCGTCACTCTTCCAATCAAACGCATGGAGCAAGCTTGCAACCACAAAAGGAACCACGCGGGAGGCTATTGGCATGCCCGGACAAGTTCTCCTCCCGGCAGAGAATGGCATCATGAGTTCTTGGTTGGATTTCTCTTGATCGCCCAGGAAACCCTCCGGGCGAAACACCTCGGGCTCGTCCCAGTGCCGTGGGTCGTGCCCGATCGCCCAAATGTTGATGAGAACGGTGCAGTGCTTGGGGATGTGCGAGTGTTGCCTTGGATGGATTGTGGTGAGGAACGCCAAGAGCTCCCACTGGATGGAGTCGCAACACTTCTTTGAAGATTGCTTCGATGTAAGGTAAGTTGACGAGGTCCGAGTGCTTGAGAAGTTGTGATGTCCCTATCGTGTTCTTTACTTCTTCTTGTGCGTTTTCCATCACTCTGGAATTTCTTAGAACTTCGGCCATGGCCCAGACTGCTGTCCACTTGATCGTGTCAACTCCAGCGACAAGTATATCCTGTGCAAAGAGTAAGTTCCAGACTGAAAAGTGCGTGGTATCACTTACAGTGAGCAGTGCGACGATTGATATGTCTTGAAGGGACTCGAGAGATAGTAGCACGTGTGTGAGATCTCTACTGACGAATTCTTGCCCTTGAGACTCAATCCTCGCCTTGTTTTGCTTGTGAGTGCCGATCACTTGTGTTAGCATTGTTCCAGCTCTGGCATGAGAGTTTCCTTCATTCTCTTGTTTACTCCGTGGAGATCCAGGAAATCCAGCGCTGGGAACAAGTTTCCAGTGTTCACGTTCAGTGTTTGCTTTTCGATTTGGGCTACCAGATCCAAAACTCTCTCATCTGTGCTGCCAAAGAGAATCATACAAAATGCATCCGAGATAAACTTGCCGACTGCATCGGTCAGGTTGACGGGAGCATGATGAATGGCTTTGATCGATTTCGCCATCTCTAGTTCGTAGATCCCACAACACCATCCAGCCTCGTGTTGTTCATCAAGTGCCTGCTCGTGATTTGCTTGAGGTTCTTCCAGGACTCACCATATGGTGCAAATGTCTTTGAAGCCATAGCTGAAGTACTCTCCAAACTTACTAGCTGGGCGATAAGCAAACTCCAAATCGCGAGTGATCAAGGCCTCCCTGGCTATGGCGATGGAGTTGATGACAACGTAGTCCACCACTCCACCTCTCAGGTGGATGATCGGGCCATAGATCTTGCCAAGGCTTGCGAAACAGCGATGGAGTGGATATCTTAGAGAGAAAATGGATCCAAATACTGGCACAGAGATTGGACCTGGTGGTAATCTTGTAAGAGTTCTTGGATGAAGTATAGAGCAAGCATAGCACCGCAAAACAAAGGCACCATGGTGGAATAAATCAATCTAGAGTGAAACCCAAAGGTCCTGGTTTCAAATCCTGTGCTAAAAAGGTAACACAATCCAAATGTGTTTTGAAAATACTAGGTTGTGTTTAGATTGAATTGTACTATCGCCCAATTAATATAATGTATTAGCAACTTTATTGGCATCTCCATACTTATACCAAATCTTAAAAGACATCTTTTGTAAGAACTTTTGTCAATGAGTAAGGTGGTCTTAAAGATCCTTTTAACAATTGAAATATTGGAAAGATTAATAACCTAAATCCATATAGAAATCCAATTCATACAAATAATATTATTATTCCTTTATAGTAGCAATTAACTTTTTGTCTTAAATAGACTAATTTTGTTATGTGGCATCAAATTATATAGCTACTCTAACCTCCTAGTTGCACAACATCAAGGTGATAACTTCTATTCCATTACATGCTTGATGTACCAATAGTAATCATAGATACTAAATTGATTCAAATTTTGAAGGTGCATGTAAAGCAAGAAAGTCTTAATGAGATTGATAGAATCCTTAACCTTTTTAATATCACTTTAAATCTTAGAAATTTAACTTTTTTGCCTTTTGACAACATCATAAAAAATCTCTTCCTCTTCATCATGACTATATCTATATCCCACTCTTAAACCATCCCTAAAAGAACATGATATTCATTAGGTTAGTCTAAAATCCCGAAATCATAGAATATTCTTAAAATATTCCCTTAGTTTGTCTTAAGTAAAGTTCAATCAGTTTGTGTTAAGTAGTGTTCGATCAGATTGCTCATGCAAGATGCATGTTCCTGAGTATGCCCAGGAAAGATCCAGTGCCATGGAATGAATGATCAAGACCTACATGAAAAACAGGCTTTTGAAAGAGTGTTCGAAGTGTTTAGAGCAATGTCATCCCCATGGTAGCTGCATTTGCCAAAGCGGGAGTGATGGAGCTGTTTCATTCGATGCCTTATAAGAATGTGATCACATGGAATGCTATGATCACAGGTTATGCAAAGGCTTGGAAACTGGAAGAGGCAAAGAAGCTCTTCAATCGCATGCCTCTCAAGGATATGGTTTTGCAGAACGTCATGGTGGCAGGATATGCCAGGAACACGAGAGAGATTCAGACTTCTAGGACAAATTGATCTCGCCTGCGAGCAAGTTTTCAACCACAAAAGGAACCACACGGGCATGCCCGAGTTGGATTTACTTGATCGCCCAGGAAACGCACCGGGCGAAACACCTCGGGCTCGTCCCAGTGCCATATGAGATGAGATCGGTGCAGTGCTTGGGGATGTCGTAGTGTTACCTTGGATGGATTGTGGTGAGGACAATGTAAGGTAAGTTGACGAGGTCCGAGTGCTTGACAGGTTCTGACTTGACGTTGAGTGTTTGCTTTTCGATTTGGGCTACCAGATCCAAAACTCTCTCCTCTATGCTGCCAAAGAGAATCATACAAAATGCATCCGAGATAAACTTGCTGACTGCATCAGTTAGGTTGACGGGAGCATGATTGCCAGAGCTGTGAATGGCTTTGATCGATTTTGCCATCTCTAGTTCGTAGATCCCCGCAACACCATCCAGCCTTGTGTTGCTCATCAAGTGCCTGTTCGTGATTTGCTTAAGGTTCTTCCAGGACTGGACCAAGAGTCAATGTCTTTGAAGCCATAGCTGAAGTACTCTCCAAACTTACTAGCTGGGGGATAAGCAAACTCCAAATCGCGAGTGATCAAGACCTCCCTGACTATGGCGATCGAGTTGATGACAATGTAGTCCACCACTCCACCTCTCAGGTGGATGATCGGGAACAGCGATGGAGTGGATATCTTAGAGAGAAAATGGATCCAACAATTAGCGGACCTGGTGGTAATCTTCGAAGAGTTCTCGCATTGCAAAGGATGAAGTGTAGAGCAAGCACGGAATAAATCAATCTCCCGTGTATGAATGGCGATTTATAAACCCAAAGGTATAAAGTCAAAACAAAATCTCAATTGAAAATATTGGATTCTAATGATCCATTGTCAAGCCAGAGCGAGGAATATCTGGGATGGTGTAGAAAATTAATGATCCAGGGATTCCCGGCGATTCCACCGCAAGGCGATTTTAATACTCTCGTCCGGTCCATCAAATCGGCAACTCGAAGAACTTGCGCGAGGCGAGGAAAGTCCATGCGAGGATAGAACGGAACAAGGACCTGAAAGAAAGCTTGCATCTGTGGAATCTTGTGATTGAAATGTATGGAAAGTGCGGCATCGTGGAGGAGGTTCGAGCAGTGTTCGATCGGATCAGCGACAGGAACTTGGTGTCGTGGAACATCCTCCTTGCGGCATATGCCCGAACCGGGGATATTGCCTAAGCAAGATGCGTGTTCCAGAGCATGCCCAGAAAGGATCGAGTGTCATGGAATGGAATGATCCAGGCCTACGTGAAATTGGAAAGAGCGATGGAAGTGTTTAGAGCGATGCCATCACCGGATATCGTCTCGTCGACAACCGTGGTTTCCGCATTTGCCAAGGCGGGGGATCTGTGTCGAGCGACAGAGCTGTTTAATTCGATGCCTCACAAGAATGTGATCGTGTGGAGCGCTATGATCACGGGTCATGCAAAGGCTGGATTAATGTAAAGGCAAAGAAGCTCTTCGATTGCATACCGCTCAAGGATGTGGTTTCGTGGAACGCTATGGTGGCGGGATATGCCAGAAACGGGCAACTTGATCTGGCGAGAGAGGTTTTCGAGAGAATGATCTTGCGAGACTCGGTGTCGTGGACGACGATGATCCGGGTTTACGTTGCTGGAGGAGAGATTGCCGAGGCCAGAGCTTTGTTCGAGAGGATGCCGATGGAGAACGTCGTGGCCTCTACGGCAATGCTCCAGGGCCACGCCGAGAATGGAGACTTGGAAGAAGCGAGAGTTTTGTTCGAGAAAATCCAATGCCCCGACGCGATCGCGTGGACGACGATGATGAACGCTTACGCCAGTCATGGTTTCCTTGAAGACGCAAAGACCATCTTTGGTCGGATGCCGGACAGGAACTTGGAAACTTGGAACGCGCTCATCACAGCGTACGCGGATCACTGTCGCGTGGAGGAGGCCCGGGAGCTGTTTTACAAGATGAAACTCCATCTCCTGGAATGTGATGCTCCAGTCGAGCGTGGAGAGAGGCGAGCTTGTCCAAGCGAAGGCCGTTTGATCGGATGCCTCATCGTGGGACTCGATGGTTCAAGCGTATGCTCAAGATGGTCACGTAAAACAAGCCAGGGACGTGTTCGAGATGATGCCGAGGAGGAACGTCGTGTCATTCACGACCTTGATCCAGGCTTACGCAAGAAGAGGCGAGATGGAGGAAGCAAAGGGGCTGTTTGACGGGATGCCGCAGCGGGGGACGACGATGGTGGTCGGATACTCGCAGGCCGAGATGGTGGAGTGCGCAAAAACAGTTTTTGATGAGATGCCACTCCGGGCGATGATCGCAGCCTATGCTCGCCCCGGGCATTTGGATGAGAGATGGGATTTTCGTAGAACATGAAGCGCGCAATTCAAAGACAACGTTGTCGACAGACGTTTCGTCGCCGGCGGCGAGGGATCCAGAATCCCCAATTCCAGGGCCGCCGACCCGGACGAGGCTCGGCGCTCTTGGATTGGCTTAGGCGGCGGGAGGTGCCAATGAGCCCGGAGACGCGATCGATCATCAAGCCCAGTGATGTCTATGATGGGCGAGCTCGATTTACTCCCGGGACTAGGGTTAGGGGTCTGGTAGATCCATCGCCACCGCCAGCGCAGGGCAGGACGACTTTTAGCTCCCTTGTACAAATGCTCAAGTTGCGGCTTGATTCTTCACAACCTTTTAATTGAAATGTATAAAAATGGTGACAGCGTTGTTTGATCTCGGGTATTATCTAGCGTCGTGAAACATCATACTTGCAACATATGCCCAAAGATGGCATCTGGTGGGGTTTGAGAAAAGGAAAACGTTTTAGAATTGGGTGTGTCTAAGTTGTAAGTTGTAAAGGGTTTCTCTTAGTAGCGTTGGGCATAGTTGACGAAGCTAGTATCAGCAGTTGCCTTGACCGGGCATTTGGATGAGAGAGGGGATTTTCGTAGAACATGAAGTGATTATGATCATTCGAACACCATGGCCTGCCGAGAGCACCTTCAAAGGCAACGTTCTCGGTGTCAACAGGCATAGACAGACGTTTCGAGCCTTGCCGATGCGAATGCCACCAATTCGGACGCCGGCATACACGAGAGAGTTCCAGACGACCTCTCGGACAAATCGATCTCGCCTTCACTCTTCCAATCAAACGCATGGAGCAAGCTTGCAACCACAAAAGGAACCACGCGGGAAGCTATTGGTATGCCCGGACAAGTTCTCCTCCCGGCAGAGAATGGCATCATGAGTTCTTGGTTGGATTTCGCTTGATCGCCCAGGAAACGCTCCGGGCGAAACACCTCGGGCTCGTCCCAGTGCCGTGGGTCGTGCCCGATCGCCCAGATGTTGATGAGAACGGTGCAGTGCTTGGGGATGTCGTAGCCTGCGAGTGTTGCCTTGGATGGATTGTGGTGAGGAACGCCAAGAGCTCCCACTGGATGTAGTCGCAACACTTCTTTGAAGATTGCTTCGATGTAAGGTAAGTTGACGAGTTCCGAGTGCTTGACAAGTTGTGACTTCACTATCGTGTTCTTTACTTCTTCTTGTGCGTTTTCCATCACTCTGGAATTTCTTAGAACTTCGGCCATGGCCCAGACTGCTGTCCACTTGATCGTGTCAACTCCAGCGACAAGTATATCCTGTGCAAAGAGTAAGTTCCAGACTGAAAAGTGCGTGGTATCACTTACAGTGAGCAGTGCGACGATTGATATGTCTGGTAGGGACTCGAGAGATAATAGCACGTCTGTGAGATCTCTGCTGACGAATTCCTCCCCTTGAGACTCAATCCTCGTCTTGTTTTGCTTGTGAGCGCCGATCACTTGTGTTAGCAATTGTTCCAGCTCTGGCATGAGAGTTTCCTTCATTGTCTTGTTTACTCCGTGGAGATCCAGGAAATCCAGCGCTGGGAACAAGTTTCCAATGTTCACGTTGATTGCTTGCTTTCCGATTTGGGCTACCAGATCCAAAACTCTCACTTCTGTGCTGCCAAAGAGAATCATACAAAATGCATCCGAGATAAACTTGCCGACTGCATCGGTCAGGTTGACGGGAGCATGATCGCCAGAGCTATGAATGGCTTTGATAGATTTCGCCATCTCTAGTTCGTACATCCACGCAACACCATCCAGCCTCGTGTTGCTCATCACGTGCCTGCTCGTGATTTGCTTGAGGTTCTTCCAGGACTCACCATATGGAGCAAGAGCAATGTCTTTGAAGCCATAGCTGAAGTACTCTCCAAACTTACTAGCTGGGCGATAAGCAAACTCCAAATCGTGAGTGATCAAGACCTCCCTGGCTATGGTGATCGAGTTGATAACAATGTAGTCCACCACTCCACCTCTCAGGTGGATGATCGGGCCATAGATCTTGCCAAGGCTTGCGAAACAGCAATGGAGTGGATATCTTAGAAAGAAAATGGATCCAAATATTGGCACAGAGATTGGACCTGGTGGTAATCTTGTAAGAGTTCTCGCATTGCAAAGGATGAAGTATAGAGCAAGCATAGCACCGCAAAACAAAAGCACCATGGTGAGAGTGAAACCCAAAGGTCCTGGTTTCAAATCCTGTGCTAAAAAGGTAACACAATCCAATCAAAATAAATGTGTTTTGAAAATACTAGGTTGTGTTTAGATTGAGTTGTATGTTTATTATTTAAATCTTTTATTGTCAACTATCGTCCAATTATTTATAAAAATATAATGCATGAGCAACTTTATTGTCATCTCCATACTTATACCAAATCTTAAGTCTTAAAAGACATCTTTTGTAAGAACTTTTGTCAACAGAGTAAGGCGGTCTTGACGATCGTTTTAATAATTGAAATATTGGAGAGACTAATAATCTAAATCCATATTATTATTATTATTCCTTTATAGCAGCAAATGACTCTTTGTCTCAAATAGATTAATTCTGTTGTGCGGCATCAAATTTTATGGCTACTCTAACCTGCTAGTTGCACAACATCAAAATGATAACTTCCATTCCACCATACAATAATTTTTGACATGCTTGATGTACTAACAGTAATCATAGATACTAAATTGATTTAAATTTTGAAAGTGCATGTGACTCTTTAATAACCTTATTTTTGCCTTCTGACAACATCATCAAAAGTCTTGTCCTCTTTATCACATATTATCACTAGATATTCATGAGGTAACCCTAGGTTAGCTAGCCTAAAATCCCCAAATCATAAAATATTTTTAGAATATTCCCATAGTTTGTGTTAAGTTGTGTTCAATCAAATTGCTCATGCAAGATGCATTTTCCAGAGTATGCCCAGGAAGGATCAAGTGCCATGGAATGGAATGATCCAGGCCTACATGTAAAACAGGCTTTTGAAAGAGTGTTTGAAGTGTTTAAAGCAATATCATCCCCAGATATAGTCTCATGAGCAAGGGTGGTAGCTGCATTTGCCAAAGCAGGAGCGATGGAGCTGTTTCATTCGATGCCTTATAAGAATGTGATCACATGGAATGCTATGATCACAGGTTATGCAAAGGCTTGGAAACTGGAAGAGGCAAAGAAGCTCTTCAATCGCATGCCTCTCAAGGATATGGTTTTGCCGAACATCATGGTGGCAGGATATGCCAGAAACACGAGAGAGATTCAGACTTCTAGGACAAATTGATCTCGCCTGCACTCTTCCAATTAAAGGCATGGAGCAAGTTTTCAACCACAAAAGGAACCACACGGGAAGCTATTGGCATGCCCGAGTTGGATTTACTTGATCGCCCAGGAAACGCTCCGGGCGAAACACCTCGGGCTCGTCCCAGTGCCGTATGAGATGAGATCGATGCAGTGCTTGGGGATGGATGGATTGTGGTGAGGACAATGTAAGGTAAGTTGACGAGGTCCGAGTGCTTGACAGGTTCTGACTTGACGTTGAGTGTTTGCTTTTCGATTTGGGCTACCAGATCCAAAACTCTCTCCTCTATGCTGCCAAAGAGAATCATACAAAATGCATCCGAGATAAACTTGCTGACTGCATCAGTCAGGTTGACGGGAGCATGATTGCCAGAGCTGTGAATGGCTTTGATCGATTTTGCCATCTCTAGTTCGTAGATCCCCGCAACACCATCCAGCCTTGTGTTGCTCATCAAGTGCCTGTTCGTGATTTGCTTAAGGTTCTTCCAGGACTGGACCAAGAGTCAATGTCTTTGAGGCCATAGCTGAAGTACTCTCCAAACTTACTAGCTGGGGGATAAGCAAACTCCAAATCGCGAGTGATCAAGACCTCCCTGGCTATGGCGATCGAGTTGATGACAATGTAGTCCACCACTCCACCTCTCAGGTGGATGATCGGGCCAAAGATCTTGCCAAGGCTTGCGTTGCGAAACAGCGATGGAGTAGATATCTTAGAGAGAAAATGGATCCAACTTTTGGCAGAGAGATCGGACCTGGTGGTAATCTTCGAAGAGTTCTCACATTGCAAAGGATGAAGTATAGAGCAAGCATAGCACCGCAAAGCAAAAGCACCATGGTAATCTCTTGGCGAGAGAGAAGCTTTATAAACCGGGTTCAAATTTGTGCTTCCAGTTTAAAGGATGTAATAACAAGGGTAAGAAATCCAAAGGTGTGGGTTCTGAGAGAGGGCCGGGGTGTTCACACTCAATGTGAGTTTTGATTAAATTTTTGGATTGTCATCATTTCTGTCCACAGTCCATTTTTTGGTGGAGATGGGAGGTACGGCTCTAGGCATATTTCTCATGTTAACCATGTCTTTTTATCTTGATGAAGTGAGATTGTTTTGATGTGATGTGATACTCACAGATCTCTTAAGATTTTTTGAGATTGTGAGTTGAAAATTGTGTAACATGATAAATTCATGTGATGTGATGCTCATAAATATTTTGATCTTTTCCACAATATTGCTACAACGATTATAATAAGGGATGGTGTAGAAAATAATGATCCAGGATTCCAGCGATTCCAGTGGAAGGCGATTTTAATTTTCTCGTCCGGTCCATCAAATCGTACAACAACTCGAAGAACTTGGGCGAAGTCCATGCGAGGGTAGAACGGAACAGGGACCTGAAAGAAAGCTTGCAGCTGTGGAATCTTGTATATGGAAAGTGCGGCAGCGTGGAGGAGGCCCAAGCGGTGTTCGATCGGATCGTTTGATGAGATGCCTCAAAAAAAAGTGATCACATGGAGGCAAAGAAGCTCTTCGATCGCATGCCTCTCAAGGATGTGAGGGAGTTCCCGACTTTTCGGACAAATCAATCTCGCCTGCACTCTTCCAATCAAAGGCATGGAGCAAGTTTGCAACCACAAAAGGAACCACGCAGGAAGCTATCGGCATGCCGGGAATGGCATCATGCGCTCTTGGTTGGATTTCGCTCGATCGCCCAGGAAACGCTCCGAGCAAAACACCTCGGGCTCGTCCAGTACCGTTTGGGATGAGAACGGTGCAGTGCTTGGGGATGTCGTAGCCTGCGATTGTTACCTTGGATGGATTGTGGTGAGGAACGCCAAGAGCTCCCACTGGATGGAATCGCAAAACTTAATTGAAGATTGCTTCGATGTAAGGTAAGTTGACGAGGTCCGAGTGCTTGACAGGTTGTGACTTGACGTTGAGTGTTTGCTTTTCGATTTGGGCTACCAGATCCAAAACTCTCTCCTCTGTGCTGCCAAAGAGAATCATACAAAATGCATCCGAGATAAATTTGCCGACTGCATCGGTCAGGTTGACGCGAGCATGATCGCCAGAGCTTTGAATGGCTTTGATTGATTTCGCCATCTCCATTTCGTAGATCCCCGCAAAACCATCCAGCCTCGTGTTGCTCATCAAGTGCCTGCTCGTGATTTGATGTCTTTGAAACCATAGCCAAACTTACTAGCTGGGCGATACGCAAACTCCAAATCGTGATGGAGTTGATGACAATGTAGTCCACCACTCCACCTTTCAGGTGGATGATCGGACCATAGATCTTGCCAAGGCTTGCGAATAAATCAATCTCTCGTGTATGAATGGCGATTTATAAACCCAAAGGTATAAAGTCAAAACACAATCTCAATTGAAAATATTGGATTCTAGCGATCCATTGTGAAGCCAGAGCGAGTAATATCTGGGATGGTGTAGAAAATTAATGATCCAGGGATTCCCAGCGATTCCACCGCAAGGCGATTTTAATTCTCTCGTCCGGTCCATCAAATTGTACGGCAACTCGAAGAACTTGGGCGAAGCGAGGAAAGTCCATGCGAGAATAGAACGGAACGGGGACCTGAAAGAAAGCTTGCATCTGTGGAATCTTGTGATTGAAATGTATGGGAAGTGCGGCAGCGTGGAGGAGGCTCGAGCGGTGTTCGATCGGATCAGCGACAGGAACTTGGTGTCGTGGAACATCCTCCTTGCGGCATATGCTCGAAACGGGGATATTGCTCAAGCAAGATGCGTGTTCCAGAGCATGCCCAGAAAGGATCGAGTGTCATGGAATGGAATGATCCAGGCCTACGTGAAAAGCGGGCTTTTGGAAAGAGCGATGGAAGTGTTTAGAGCGATGCCATCACCGGATATCGTCTCGTGGACAACCGTGGTTGCCGCATTTGCCAAGGCGGGGGATCTGTGTCGAGCGACAGAGCTGTTTGATTCGATGCCTCACAAGAATGTGATCGCGTGGAACGCTATGATCACGGGTCATGCAAAGGCTGGAAAAATGGAGGAGGCAAAGAAGCTCTTCGATTGCATACCGCTCAAGGATGTGGTTTCGTGGAACGCTATGGTGGCGGGATATGCCGGAAACGGGCAACTTGATCTGGCGAGAGAGGTTTTCGAGAGCATGATCTTGCGAGACTCGGTGTCGTGGACGACGATGATCCGGGCTTACGTTGCTGGAGGAGAGATTGGCGAGGCCAGAGCTTTGTTCGAGAGGATGCCGATGGAGAACGTCGTGGCCTCTACGGCGATGCTCCAGGGCTACGCCGAGAATGGAGACTTGGAAGAAGCGAGAGCTTTGTTCGAGAGAATCCAGTGCCCCGACGCGATCGCATGGACGACGATGATGAACGCTTACGCCAGTCATGGTTTCCTGGAAGACGCGAAGACCATCTTCGATCGGATGCCGGACAGGAACTTGGTAACTTGGAACGCGCTCATCACAGCGTACACGGATCACGGTCGCGTGGAGGAGGCCCGGGAGCTGTTTGACAAGATGAAAGAGAGGAACTCCATCTCCTGGAATGTGATGCTCCAGTCGAGCGTGGAGAGAGGCGAGCTTGTCCAAGCAAAGGCCGCGTTTGATCGGATGCCTCAACCGGACACAGTATCGTGGAACTCGATGGTTCAAGCGTATGCTCAAGATGGTCACGTAGAACAAGCCAGGGACGTGTTCGAGAGGATGCCGAGGAGGAACGTTGTGTCATTCACGGCCTTGATCCAGGCCTACGCAAGAAGAGGCGAGATGGAGGAAGCAAAGAGGCTGTTTGACGAGATGCCGCAGCGGGACGTGGTGGCCTGGACGACGATGGTGGTCGGATACGCGCAGGCCGAGATGGCGGAGTGCGCAAAAACAGTTTTTGATGCGATGCCACTCCGAGACCTGGTGTCGTGGAACGCGATGATCGCAGCCTACGCTCGCCCCGGGGATTTGGAGCGAGCTCGGGCGCTGTTCGAGGCAATGCCTGTGAGAAATACCATCTCGGGCAACTCGATGGTGGCGGCGTACGCTCGGACTGGAAACTTGGGCGATGCCAGGACGGTGCTTGAGCGGATGCCCGAGAAGAACATCGTGTCCTGGAACACAATGGTGGCCGGCTACGCCGAGAACGGTTGCGTGGAGGAGGCCGAGGTGGTGTTCTCTCGGCTCATGCCCGAGCACGACACTGTCTCCTGGGCCTCGATGCTACTCGGCTACGTTGGAAGCCGGCATTTCGATCGAGCAGTGGAGCTCTTCTGGGAGATCCCGGAGCGAGACATGATAATCTGGAACGTCATGGTGGTGGCGGCAGCTCAAAGAGGCAAGCTCCGCGCAGCAAAATCGCTTTTTGATGGGATGCCGGAGCGGGACGTGGTGTCCTGGAACGTGATGCTCCAGTCGAGCGCTAGCGGCGAGCGCGAGCGGGTGGATTTGCTGCTGGACATGAAGATGGAGGGGATCTCTCCCGACGAGGTGACGCTCTTGACGCTGCTCCACGCTTGCAACCATGGCGGGCTCGTCGGCGAGGCGCTGGATCACTTGGCGGGGATGGTGGCGGACTGGGGGGTGAGAGCTGGCGAGGATCACTGGAACGCGGTGGTGGATGTTCTTGGGAGAGCTGGGCATTTGGTGGCGGCGGAGGAGCTGCTCAAGGGCGGGGGTGGCGGTGGCGGTGGGGAGGCGTGGACGGCGCTGCTGGCGGCGTGTAGGATCCATGGCGATGAGAGGCGCGGGAAGCGAGTGGTGGCTTCGCTCATCCGGAAGGAGGAAGAGATGGAAGCCATGGTAACGAAGAGCACGAACAAGAAGAAGACTGCTCCTTACGTGTTGCTATCGAATTTATACCGAGATGGATAGTCATCACTTTTGTAAAAAGATTAATTCATAATTTTATTTTATTTTCCACTAATGTAAGTTAATTAATAAAAGATAAATATTAAGTTTCTCTATTAAATTAGTAATGTAGATTATTATCAAGTTTCTAATTTAAATTAGTAGGAACTAAGTTTCTTAATCAAATTAGTAGGAAATTTAGTATGTCAAGCGGATGTAGTTTGAGTGCAAGAGGTACTCGGTTCGACACCTTGCACCCCCATTTCTAAAGCTTTTAGATGGAAATTATTTTTATCTCTGGAACAACGTACGTTAGCCAGCCTAACGATCGATCCTCACTGTCACAAGATATAATGCTTTTGTTCTTGAGCTTTTGATTATATTCTTCTTCCGTGGCTCTAAATCCCGGAAGGCGCCAAGTACGGATTCAAATTCAAACCGTCCGCCCGACTATTTTAATTCTACTTTTCCCGCAAAAGCATACACATACGTACAATACCAAAAATACATTTGTATTACAGTCAACTTGGTGTTCCATGTGTGGGACAATTCGCTTTCTTCTATCGATTGTCTGGTTTTGAACTTGAGCACGAGAGTTCTTCGCTGTCTTGTGGCTTGAGTCCAAATCTTTGCTCTCAAACTAATGCTAATCAATCGATCTCCGAGAAAGCACCGACACACCACATTGTCGAGAGATTTTTGTCAAATTCAAAGGCCAGTTTGAAATGTTGGTGTTCTTGTCTGGGATTGTTTGAATCGAGAGAAAGTGTTTCGTTCTTTTCAGTTCCCCGGTTTTGGGGCCAAATTACAATCAAATTTCAGGCCCATGATCTAGCACGAGTTGTCATTCAAGACAAAACAACGAGAGTAGAGCTTGTCAACTTCGCAACCAATGTTTAACTTAACTTCGTTCTTGGAGAATTTTCTCGACTGTACCCGTTGGATGTTGATCTTCGTTGAAAAGGTGGCGGTGCAAGAAATAGAGGCAAATTCCTTTTTAAAATCTGCACATAAATTCGATAAGACAAGCGAGTAAATGCCCACTGCGCGCTGGCTTCGCGGATTCTATGGCACAAAGAATCTGGGAGTCTGCAACTTTTAGGGTTCTTGTGTCAGCCTCCAATCTTTGCAAACCACAAGATATAAAAACCACGCGATTTAAATGCGTTGGTTCTATCATACCGTTAGCCAAAAAGATTTTCATAGCCCAGGCAACAAACCATAGAAAAATCATTTGATCAAAGCTAAGGCCACATTCTTTAAGGCAAGTGCCAGTGGAAAGACAAGGCAGGGGTCCCTACAGTACTATAGCCTGTACAGTAGACCTACTCGTAGACATACGTCCCAAAATCGGATCAATTGATTTTGCGCGTATTTAAAAAAGTATATGCCACTCTGCTGACCTGGCAGCGTTTTGACCCGCCCACGTGGACCAAGGGAGGAGAATATTCCTTGGCGGGTAAATTTGTGCGGGGGGTAAAAATCTCTCACTTTGGGAGTGGGATTTTCATTTGAGGGTTTGATGCGTTTGGTTTGGCGCCCTGTCGAGAACGCGAAGTTTACGAGCTGTGAACTTACACGCGCAGTGAGCGAAGCAAGACGAGTGTTTTTTAGGTGGGATGGGAAGAGATTTTTTTTTTTTCCTCCTCTCTTTTTCACACAAGGTAAGTGTGGGATCGATCACAGGGGCCACAGTGCTTGGGCAGTTTCGAAGAATTGACATTGATTAGTAGCAGCCAAACGAGACCGCCCAAAAGGAAGAAGAAGGAAGAAGAAGAAGAACACTCGCGAGAAGAGGGCTCCTCCCTCTTTGTGTGATCTTCTTCTATTCTATTGGGCTCGATCGAGTCGACGATCGATCCATTGGTGGGCGATGGCAATGCGGGTCCCGTGAATCGCAAAATCCCTTGAAAGCTAGTTCTTGTTTTTGTTCGCTCCCTCTCTCCCAGCGATCGATCGACCCTTCTTCTCTTGGGAATTTTGAGCGGAGGCTGGGTTCACGGGTGGGATCATTCATTGGTGTTGTTTGTTCTTGTTTTCTCCCTTTGGTGCCTTTATCTCCTCCTCGCTTTTTTTTGGATTTCTTCCTCTTGGCGCTCTCGCGCTGCCTTTTTCCGGTTTGAAAAAAAGAGAGGAAGCGATCGCATTTACTCTGGGCCGGCACCCCCGATCATATAGATGCCCCACTCGGGCTCTTTGGATCGCTCCAGTGCGCTCCAGGCTCTAGAGGGTCCCAGAGCGATCGATTGGAATCTTGGTTGTCGTCGCGCTTCGAGCTAGCTAGCGATTCCCAGGAGAGTTTGTTCTCTCTTTTCTTTCGAGAGAGGATGGATGAATCCCCACGAAGACCCAATGCGGCTAGCAGTAAGCACGCGCGGCGGCTGTTCGCAGCGAATAGAGAAGGTATGGACACACAAAAATCGAATTTTTTTGCTTGGCAGCGATGGATTGATCCTCGTTTTCGTAGAGAAATCGGCGAGGAGACACAGTAGCAGCGATGGCCAAGCTCGCAGGAAGCTACTTTTGGTAAAGACCCCTCTTTTTATTCCATTCCCATTTGAGTGACAGGACCTTTTCGTTTTGTGATCAGGGAGCTCCAGAGGAAGAATCTCTGAATTCTAGCTTCGATGACGCGGCGATCCACGGGCCCAATGTGGTGGCGAGGCTGATGGGCTTGGATTCGCTGCCAGTGGGCGCCAAAATCAAGGATCTCTCAGCAGTAAGTAGCAGTAGTGGTAGCGATGGTCGCTCGCCGCCAGTGATGATCCTCCGCGAGAATGGAGGAGGAGGAGAGAGGCAGCAGCTCCAGCTCCAGGAGCTCCTGAGGATCAAAGAGCCGCTGCTACTCCGCGAGCTCCTGCGAGAGGAAGAGGATCAGTATCGTAGCTTGGAGGAGGATCACCAGCGGCAGAACGGGAGGAAAGGACCATCGCTGGTGGAGAAATTTGCAGGACTGATGAGGAGGACTCGGGTTCCAGCGGTGGAACACGAACAGGAAGAAGAGGAGAAATCGAAGAAGAAAAAGGAGGAGCAAAAGAGCGGTGGTAGCAAGGTCTCACCGATCAAGAGCCCGTCAAAGAAGAAGCGTGGCCTGGTAGCGGAGGTTGCCGTGAAGATCTTGGCGACCGATGATCATCGTCCACCGCAGCACCAGAATTTGGACACGGGCACCGCGGACAAGAAGCCCTCGAGCCGGAGGAAGTTGTCGCTAAACCGGAGCTCATCCGAGCCAACTCTCGGCTCGTCGTCGTCGTCAACTTCCAGAAGGCTGGCCAAGATTTCCGAGAGCATCCGGCAAAGGTTCGGTGGTTTCAGCTCCAGCAGCGATCGCTCGAGCTCGAACTCTTCGTCGTCATCATCGGTGTCAAAGTCGACGAAGAACAAGGTCAGCGATGGTGGAAACTTGGTTCGGAGTAAGTCGGACTTGGGACTCCAGCAGCAGCACGAAGGTGGTGGAGGATTGGGATGGTCTGAAATTCGGAGGCTGCACAAGCAACAAAAGCAACGAGAGTCCGATCAGCTCATCATCAAGAGCAGCAATGAAAGGGAAGAGGACCACTTACCCCAGAGAGCGTCGTTTTCTCGCACTGCAAAGTTGGTCACAATGAAGAACTCCACCAGTAGCAGCCATGGAATCCTGAGCTACACCACAAACAGGCTGTTTGGGAATCAGAGGGGAAAAGAGAAAGAAAGTAACAGGACGAGGACGAAGCGTACCAGCAGCAGCGACGGAAGTGGCAAGGATCACAGCAGCACGAGTGCGACGAGTGGCACGGCGAGGCCGAGCAAAAGTGAGGCATCGTCGTCTTTAATGCGCGCATTGCTGAGAAGATCACGGAACATCGGCGCTGGAACCACCAAGCAAGCTGCGCGGAGCTTTCAATCCGTTGGGGGGAAAGCCTCTGCTTCTTCGATGAGCTCGAGACAAGGCCGAGCTGATGATATTTCTTTGTCCTCGGTGGCATCGTCTTCTTGCGCTGGTGTTACTCCTCCCCGGGTGAGTGTTTTGGCTCTTGTTGTTTTCTCTTTCCTCGTGTTCTTCCGGCCTGACTTTGTGCTTGATTGCTCCACGACAGTTTTGTGAGGAGCTGCTCTCGGACGATAGTAGCAGCGTGGCTCGGTCGGAAGGAAGCGGGAGCTCTCCGACAAACTCGAATTGCGGGAACTATGAGTGCAGCCGGTCATCTCGATCGGAGGGTGGACAGCCCAGTCCAGTTTCGGTGCTCGAGCCACCGTTTGTCGACGAGATGCACTCGTCCCCGTTGGACAGTGGTGGCGAAGACTCACCTGGTAAGAGCAATCGAGTTTGTAAGTTTAGGAGCTAAAAAAGTTGGTCCAGATGCTAAGCTACGTACCAGTTCCACGGGCAGTGACAGCATTCTCAGCGCCATCCTGGACATATCACGAATCCGCTGCATCGACCTCTCTTCCATCGGAATAAGCGACTCCACCGCCAGTAGCAGGCACTCTTTCGAGGAAGAGGCAGCCTACATCGACGACGTTCTTAGGACGAGTCAGCTTTTATGTGACCAGGAGGAGAAGATGCTGAGCTCGCCAGCAGCCGTAGCAGCAACTAGAAGGTGGCTTAGCCAAGATAGTCCAGTCGCTTCCCGGGTTTTCAGCATCATAGAGACGACGATGACTGCCAAATCTCATGGACGAGGCTCGCTGCAAGCTCGCAAGTTGCTCTTCGACTGCGTAGAGGAGGCAGTGAGATCAAGATTCGGCTGCTGTAAAAGCTGGTACTTAGGCGTAGGATCGGTGAGGTTGGCTGGAGTCGGGATGCCACAGGTTGGTGCAGAGGTTCAGCAACAAATAAGTGACTGGAAGTCGATGGAAACGCTGTCAACTGATGAGCTCGTTGAGAAGGACATGAGTGTTGGTGCTGGAAAGTGGATGGATTGGAACGGGCAAGTGAAGCTGATTGCCGAGGACGTTGAGAGCAGCATTCTGCGGACAATGATAGACGAGCTTGTCTGCGAGTGGAGTGGACCATAACTGGTGGCTTTCAACCCTGTTCTGTGAGCGTTTAAATCTGAAGTCAAGTCTCTATTCTTTCTGCCAGGCAGGCTTCCAAGGCAAGTTTAGCTTCCTGTAAGAAACTGCTTACCAAGCGCTTCTGACTCTTTCTGTAAATTACACAGGCTCGATGGTTCTGCGAGAGAAAGCCTGTGTCATCGACAGTGCCCTGCTCCTTGCAACGCCTGTCTCGTTCCAGAAGCTCCTCGTCTCGTGACTCGGGTCCAGTTCCTCGAACAAGGTCGGCCATTCTGATACCAAAGTCATTTCAATTCCGCAAACACTGATATATCTTACTTGGCAGAGAGTATTGTCACCAGCAAAGTTAATGCCTCGGCGTCTCCACAAACCTCCCATACCGCTGCCTGGATGTCGTCTTTCGAAGGAACGTGAGAAATCTGTTGTTTAGCAAAACCAAGACTCATTTGTGAAGCAAATCAATCTCGGAAACTCAATTTGGATTTACCTGCTCAAGAAGGTTGGCAACGCCGTGCAAAGCAGTTTCTGGCATAGACAGCACCCTTAATGATAACACCATGTCTTCTGGGAAGACTAAACAATCTAAGTACGACGGTGCTTTGCGGTGTCCACTCCAACTAAATCCTGGATGTGTCCTGGTTGCTTTGTCATCTGGATTCTTCCGAAGAAAACCACTCGCCAGTAGTGACGATGGTAAAAGCCATTTCAATGAGAGGTCCTGAACAATAAACAAAGGTTCCAGTTCAAATCTGACATTTTAAATCTTACCAGTTCACGAAGTAGCTGCAATTTAAAATCCATAGTGTTGTCTTCATCCAGAAACATCTTTGGAAAGTGGACCTAACAAAAGGTGCATCAAAGCATACATCCTTTTCAATGTCACACATTACGTACCATCACATAATCGTTGGAATTGTCCTCTTCCACAAAGCCATACAGGAAAAGTAGTTCCTGTGAAACCGGTTTCGTGATCAGTAGCACCAGCCAGCCTAACGCGTTACCTCATTCCCTTTGTCTCCGTAGTTGATAAGAACTTCTGAGCCGGGTGGGAAAACCACATCTAAACCTGGAACGCCCAGCTGTTATGACTAGTTCCAGCTACCTACAATGTACCAGCTATCAGGTACATTGAGTGAGGAACTCCTGACGTAGAACCGTCACTCCCATCGATTTCCCAAAGCCCAGATGCTCTGCGTGCTAGCCATAACACAAGTTCAGTCATCAAAAGAAAGAAACAAGAGCAATTTATTACTATGGTTGCAGAAGTCAATTCCCGGGACGAGACCTTCAATCCAAATCGTGCTTACATCTTTTGAACTGCAAGAAATAAAAGGATGAGGAAGAACATAAATCCTAGAACGCGGATAAGAACCTACACTAACCTGTTGCCGTCGTCCTTTGCAACTTCCGGTGATGATGAGGTAACAAACGATGCCGGACACGGGATGTTCAGTGCCCTTGTCCAGAAAATACAATTGGCCCTGTTCAAAAGATCGTTAGAAACAATCTACACAATTCAGAAAAAAATGTAAATACATACCATAGAAATTCCTGGAATTCAAGCTCCCTATCATCCGGACGAAACAGATATAAGGACACTAGAAAAAGTTGACAACACAAGGTACCTATGTAGACCGATGGAAGACATCGCTGCTTCAGTACATTCTTTCACCTTTAGAAACAGTCTCCTCAAGGACTTAAGCTGTGGAAAACATGACCTCAGTATCCACTACAAGTGCTTACAAAAGTAGAAGGAAAAAACACCTGGGCTTTGGTGGCCTCGAACAGTGTTGTACCGTCCAGCTCCATGAGTTCTTCGTCTTCGAACCAGAGCGGAGTACCAAAGCCGGATGGCAGCATTTCAAGATATCTACACACAATGTAAGGATTTCTCTCTTTCCCTTCCCTGCGGCACCAAAGGAAGAACACAGGAAAAAAAAAACAAAGGATACGGTGCCCAGAACGAGGCTCTCCCTCGTGCACGCTCTATGATCAGGAAAATCATTACCAGCAAGCGATCGTCAATCTCATTGCCGAGCATCTCCCGGTATACATTTCCCAGGACTGGATCTTTCACAATTGTCACGGGTGTGAGTGCCAGATCGAGCGGCGTTACTACGAGAACATCTGCAAAATCCGTGCTGAGAGGAGCACAGAAAGAGAGAAAATCACCTCTCGCGCTATCGTTTTGAGTGTAAAGCCCAAATCCCTCGGCATCGCTGACGCGTTTGATCGCGCAGCCGCGGAACTGGATTCCGTGCTCCTGGCAGCGATCGATCAGCTGCATTGCCGAGGAAAGGTCGAAATACCTCACCTGGGACCAGCGCGAGAAGCGCTCAAGGCGCTCCTCCTCCATTCCCCCGCGAAGAACCCTAAAACAAAAACCCCGTTAGTCGTTAAACCCTAGGATTGCGACATGGAAGGCTCCATCGCATCACTCTAATGCGGTGTGATGCGAGCGTCAAAGCGCTGGATCAGCTCAGTCGTCGCGAAGAATGGCGCAAAAGGGAGTAAAGCGCCTTTTGAATCGTCTGATCAGCTGACTCGAGGTTTGGTTTCCGGAAAGAAAAAATTCTTCTAGGTGGAGATCTCTTCTTCCTTTTTCTCCAGCAAGGATCGATGGATGGATCAATGGATCGATGGATGGATAAACAATCCAGGAGCGAAGAAAGGTACGCGCACTTAAATTTTTCTCGCTTTACATAGCTTTTCGGTAGTGTTCTTGGTGTAGAGGATGCTATATTGTTCTTGAGAGATTCCCAAGGATATCCTTCGTCTGTTGTGTGTGTCTGTGTGTGTGAGTGTTTTATTTTTTTGCCCGTTAAACGACCATTAATGTCTAAGCTCGCTGGTTTGTTACTCACGATTGCATTATCCGGCGAATCTTACTCGAGATTAGCAGCAAAAAGCCATTTCTTTGCACAGTTCTTCCCGTAGAACGGTCTTAAACCAAAAAAAAAGAAAAAGCAGCGCTTGTATGCTTATATATGTTCTTGGTGGCCAATCCCGAGTAGCTTCTTCGAGGATTTAAACTTTGCTTGGCCCCTAGAGCTGAGGGCTAGTGACAAGTGTTTTGGTCTGTTTTCCAGTGCTTGCTTTGTATCGAGGCCGCGAGAGACCGAGCAGCAAATTGCGAAAGCCAGCGAAAATGGCAGCGATTTTGCGACGGGCCCTCCTCTGTCCCCTGGTTTTCCTTAACTTCTTCCTCTATATGATCCTTCTCGGCATAGCAGGGGCCAAGCTGAATGATAGCTTTGAGCGTGGTTTCGTGCCGGGAGGTAAACTTCTTCGTCCGAAAGAGGAAAAGAAAGAAAAAAACTGATTTTTTTCTTTCCTTGTCTCAGGAAATGGAATCACGGTGACACTGGTGATCTTCGCGTTGATTGCCGGCGTTGTTGGAGTTGCGTCCTCGCTCGCGGGGATGCATCACTTGGCAGCTTGGCGAACGGATAGCTTTGCAGCGGCTGGAGCGGCTGGTCTCATCGCGTGGCTTCTCACACTTCTTTCTTTCGGGTAAGCTCGCACTAAGTGTGAATTCATGAAAAACAAGTCTTCTTCTTCTTCTTCTTTCTGACCAGAATCGCATGCAAGCACATCAGGAGAGGTAGAATCTACAGCAAGAGTGTGGTAAATTTCCTCGTCTTTCTTCGCTTGCCTTTCTTTGATCAATTCTTGCAAGAAAGTCCTTAGTTTTTGCTGCGCGAAGTAACTTGGTTTTCTTCTTTGCAGAGGGTGCTCGAATCCATTGCGATAATTCTCGCCGGAACGCAGCTCTTCTATCTCCTCATGCTCCACACGGGCATCTTTAGCCGGAGGCTCGGCGGCTACAAAGAGCCCGGCTATGTCGCAACGAGGTCGGCCCCGACCGTGGAGCTCCCGCCCACATCGTCCGAGGCCACACAGAAACCCACCGTCGCCTCCGCGGTCTAGAGCGCAAAAAAGATTCATCCCAAAATCTTGGAGGAAAGATCACTGGAAGAAGATAGATCATCTGAGTTTGTTTTAAACATTTCTTTTTTACGTTTTCAGTGTGTGGAAATACATTCTTTCGTTTTTACTTTTACTTCACAGTCGAGAGGTTCTCTCTTTGTTCTCGAAAGATCACTTGTTTTTTACCACTTCAGTGCATTTCTTTTTGTACTTTTACTTCACATTCGAGAGGAGCGAAAGTTCTCTCTGTGTTCTCTCGAGCTCTAGGAAAGACCTAACGTCTTTGGAGTATTCTAGGGCTTTTGGGAGCGCGCGCCGGGACGATCGATCGTGGCGGCGTGATTTCTATGGTAAGAATCGCAAATGCCGCGCCCGCGCTGCAAATCCCGGCGCTGCGGGGAGGCGGCTGATCGGCAATGGCGGCGGGTCCGGTTCCTCGTGTCCGCCTCGCCGATCTAGTCCCCTCGGACGGCCTGGCGAGCGATTGCTACAAGCAGGCCGCGGTGCTGCTCTTCCAGTCTCTCCAGAAATATAGCTTCGCGGTGATCCAGCTCTCGGCCAGCGACGGCACGCTCCTGCGATGCGTGCTCGACTCCGCCCGGATGTTCTTCCACCAGCGCCCTCCGCCGGGGCCAGAGACGATCCACACGGAGGATTCACAGAACTGGCACCGCACAGCCGGCTACTACTCGGATCCACACTTCGCCAAAGAAGTTTTCGACTATCGGCCAGGGACGCCGGACTCCACCGCCGAGCTTCCACCCACAGGACTTCCGGAGCTCTTCGTCACCCTCGGCACGGCCTCGCGGCACATCCTCGAGGCCATAGCTTGGGTTCTGGAGCTCCGGAGCTTCTCCTTCACGGAGTTCCTAGACAACATCCCTCTCAAGAACGGAGAGGTCTCCAGCTCGGTTCTCTCGGTGTCCTGCCATGGAAGGCCCGGCTTGCAGCACCCGGGTGCCATGGATCTGGCGCCCATCTACGACGGACACGACCAGAACGCCGATAAAGGATTGGTGACGCTGATGAAGTCGGACAAGCACGGGCTGGAGATTCGTGACATGCATGGGCGGTGGCACTTAGCTGACGGTGGTCTCGGCCCCCAGGACGTGGTTTTGTTCTGCGGACTCTCGCTGTACCAGGCCACCGGGGGTCACGTAACTCCAGCGTTCTTCCGGACCGAGGCCGGGAGTTCTTCATCACATATGCACTTGTATGGGAGGTGCTCCACGGCTTTCAAGCTCATGCCCAAGGCCACGGGATTGCTCCACTGCTTGACGACGTCGGGAGGAGTCGCCGGATCCAGCCCGTTCCAGCAGTCCGTCACGGTGCACGACTTCATGCAGCGGTCGCACTCCATCGACCAGCTTATCGGCATGCGGCAGGCCTTCTCGTTTCCGTCGCAGCAAGAAGGTTCTTCTTTTCTCGAGCTGGGAGAAAGAACTCTCTTTGATCTTTGTCTTTCCAGGTCCGATGAAGCCGCTCAAGAGAAGAAAGCAGGTTTCTCGGGGCAAGCCGCTGGCGCCATCGAAGCGCTTGAGGCTGGAAGCGCAGAGGGTGCTCAAGGAGAGGGTCCAGGAGATTGCCGAGGGGAAGAACTTGAAGATCCGGTTCTGCAACCTCAAGGACTGCGAGGAGAACCATCTCACGACGCTGGACAGTCCGTGCTCCAGCCTCCGGGAGGAGCTGGGATGGCCGCGCGGCGTGCCGCTGGTTCATCCTCACGATCTTCCAAACAAGGCCAAGCAAGCGTTCCTCGAGGCGTATGAGCCGGGGTGGACGGCCTCGCAGGATGTGGAGCTTGGATTGATCGAAGCTGGCCATTTACACTGTAAGCTCCGAGCTCTCGTCTTTGTTCTTCGCAAAGCTCGCGTTAACTTCTCTCGTGTTCTTCGCTTTGGCAGAACATCGCTATGGTTTTGTTTGATGGATCAATTTTTACTGTGAGTTTAGTATCTGCGTGCGTCTTTCCTTTGTTTCTCACTTGGAAAATTCTTTTCTTTGCAGAACATGGTTTTCTACCCAAAGAAATTCTGACAAACGAGGTGAAAGTTACCTCGTCCCATTACCTCATCATTTTTCCTATTTACCTATTTACTATTTACATTTAGGGCTTACCTTTATAAACGATCACGGGAGATTCTAGAGCTTTGACAGAGCCGGGGAATTCAAGAGCTGGGAGATTTCTAGGTCATTGGGAATGATGCTGCGATTCTCCGGGGCTGCGATCGCTCTGCGACCGAGGAGCCTACCGGCGCTCTCGATCGCCGCGCGCGCTCGGGCGGCGGAGGGATTGCGATTCTTTGCGTCACCGACTAAGAATTCGAGCTCGGCACAGTGCAGCCAGAGCGATGGAGCGGTGAAAGAGAGCGATGGGAAGGTTACCTCGCCGGAAATGGTGGAATTCTTGAAGGAGAAGCCCGATACGTGCACAGGGGACGAGCTTCACTACGTCAGTGTGGCCGGTGGCAAGTGGAAGCTCGCATTGTGGAGATATCTCCCTGTTCGATCGGTAAGCCTCCAAAATTTACCTGGAAGAATCGAGCGATAGCTTTTTCTTTGTTTCTCTTTTTCTCGCAGGCGCCCGCGAGGAATCACCCGCTTTTGCTTCTGTCTGGTGTCGCAACAAACGCGCTTGGATTCGATCTAGACCCCAGCGTGAGTGAACTTCCAGTTCTGATCGATCGTTCTTCTCACCAATTTGCTACACAGGTTTCTTTTGCTCGTTACATGAGTTCCAATGGTTTCGATACGTGGATCTTGGAAATGAGAGCTGCCGGGTTGAGTAAAAACGAAGAAGAGGAAGAACAACTCAAGACTAGTGATCCCAAAAAAGTAGCTAGATACACACAAAGCACTGAAGGGGCGGAGGTTTTCAACTTGCAAGACGTGGAACAATTAGCTTCCTCTGTGAGTAAGCTCGAGCCAGAGATAGAGGCTGTTGCTGCGACGATAAAGGAGGAGGAGAAAGCACGAGGCAAGAAAGAAAATGGTGGCGTAACTGGCACTAGCGAAGAGTCAAGTCCTTCTTGGGAGATCACAAAGACGGCATCACAGCTATCTAGCACCGTTGTGGAGCTTGCGGAAAAGCTACGAGCGGTAGTGAATGAAGGGCAATCGCGTGTTCTCTCGGCGCGACTTGCAGAGCAGCTATCTTCCATTTTAGAGGATGCTCAACTCTCGCACCGATATCAGGAGATAAAGGATAGGCTGGTGAAACTGTTGGAGGAAAGGAAGAATGCGGCATTTACTTCTCAGCTCATCGATCTAAGTAACAGGCTCACTAGACTTCTGGAGGAGACACAGGTCTCAGTTTCTCGCGTGAGAGACTTACAGTCGCGGCTCACTTCAACAGTGGACGAATTTCAAAAGTTCCTGGACCTTATTGTGAAATATGATTGGGATTTTGATCACTACCTCGAAGAAGACGTCCCAGCTGCGGTAGGAAGCTGTTTGATTGACTACGTGATGACTCCGGATTTTTGCAGATCGAGTACGTCCGAAACAAATGTAATCCGAAGGATGGAAAGCTGCTTGGAGTTGGGCATTCCATGGGAGGCATAATTCTCTATGCACTCTTGGCGAGTAAAGGTATGAAGTTTGAATTGTAGGACATCGTTTGAATATGTAGTTCTTCCCAGGAAAGGATTCTGGCATTGCTGCAGCGGTCACTTTAGCTTCATCGCTCGACTACAGTGCTTCGAACTCCTCGCTTCACATGCTTCTGCCGTTGGTAAGACAAGGTTGTCGCAACTCTATTGCTAAGGTTTTTCTTTGTTCTTTCTGGTTTTTCGATGTGCAGGCTGATCCAGCGCAAGTGCTCAACGTCCCAGTTGTGCCTCTTGGAGCCATAATGCAGGCAGTGTATCCTCTAGTGTGTCGACCTCCGTATGCACTGGCATGGCTTGGATATAATGTTTCGGCTAGCGGAATGATGGATCCGGACCTCTACAAAAAACTGGTTTACAATAATTTTTGTAAGTGCGTGCGCACTTCAAATTCTGTCGGTGATGATGGTTTCCTTTCAGGCACGGTTCCTGCAAAGCTTCTTTTGCAGCTAAGAACAGCTTTTCAACGCGGTGGTCTTAAGAGTCGCGATGGAAATGTTACGTACAAAAACTTGTTATCGAAGTCCGAAGTCCCAGTTTACGCAATTGCTGGGGATGCGGATCTGATTTGCCCTCCCTCGGCTGTTATCGGTAACGTACTCTGGATTTTCTTTGAACTGGCATGACAGGTTCGCATTCTTCTAGATACTGTATGCACTTTACCTACGGAACGAGGTAAATACGAGGTTTTTGGAGGGCAGCATAATCGGCATTATGGTCACTATGATCTGCTCGTCTCTCGAACGGTAAACGGCAGCACTATCAGTAATGGATTTTGTTCTCTAAAGTTCCTCTACAGGCAAAAACGGAGGTGTTCCCTGCGATTCTCAAGTTCTTCGAGAAACACGATATGCTACAATAATCAGGTATCTCTTGTTTTTTTTCCAAATGCACATCACCTGATCAGTGGGAAACGTTGCTTCAGTTTCCCTGTACAGGTCTCCAAGGATACCGGAACGAAAGAGAGTGAATCCATGAAGCGCAAGATGTTTGAAAGGACAAGTTTTTACACCGGGTAGGGGATCTTGAACACGTACAAGCAGATGTAAGCCCATGCAACGCCGGAGAGACCTCCAAAGAACCAGCCCCCGGAAAAGCTGGCCCATCCCTCGGCGGTCTGGAGCTTATCGGCCTCCTTCTTACGTCCGGTCAGTGTAAGCGTTGGTGCTGTTGATGCTGCTCCCTCCTTAAACGTTGCGATGCCGTAGATGGTGAGGCAGACCGAGAGGATGGCAACGAGCCCGGCTGCCGCGAGCGCGCCAGCCTCTCCGGCAACTTCACTGTTGCGAAGAGGCCCGGTTTTTACAAAGGGACCGACGAGGAAGAAGCCGTGAGCAAGGCCGACCTCTATGCCTCGTAGCAGCGGGCTCACGGAAGTTCTGTAGGCTGGAAGGTTGGATAAGTACCAGGCGATGAGGGGACTGGAAGTGACGGGAGTTTCCAGTCCGCCAACGAAGGGATCTCCGTTTAGAGGCTCGATCACTTGGTACTGGAGAACAGGAAGAAGATGGAAGAGAGATCAGATCGACACAACGCAAGGATGATCCAGGGAAAGTTTTCTACCTTGTCACTGGCTGCTCGAACGACGAGAGCGCTTCTCCTGCATTTGCCACTGCCGAAGAGACCAACCGGCGGCTTGAGATTCGCCAGGAAGGCTGACTTAGTGGGCGATGGAACTCGCCGCGAGAACTTTGGCGGGGCGATTGCCGGGCTCGATGCTGCTCCAACTTTCACCATAGCTGCTGCTGCCATGGCGGATCCTCGAGCAAAACACTCGGTGGGAAGAAGAGGCTGCGATTAAGTTGTGATAGAATGCTGTGAGATAAGGGGGGGATAGGAGACGAGCTCCTATTGGCTTCCAGCCCGCCACGCTGGCGGGGGAATATGCTTAAAGGTATTAAGGATATTCTGTGTAATTAACGGAGCCCTAATGAAACATAAATATCCTCCAGCCGTCAAAGGATATTCCGTAGTTTTAAGTTGGAAGAGACGGAATATCCTTCGGCATTTCGTTTCTTTTAACCCTTTTATTTCCTGTGATGAGCGTGATCGATCTCCACGCTGCGGCTGCGTTGTTCTTGGATCGCCATGGATCTGCATCTCCGCTGCTCGTCCGATCCAGCGATGGATTGCTCTCGCAGGGATCGCCGCTGCCGCTACCGCCTCGTTGGTCGCATTCTGGGCATCCAGGGATGGAGCTGATGGATCCGGGGAGGTAGGAGTCTCTCCATTTTGCTCCAGGGAAGGGGATTCTTGATATTTCCTCGCGAATCTTCCAAGGCGAGAGGATGATTGATTGTGTGGCCAATGGAGGAGGGCCTGTGTCCGAAATCGTTGAGGCGGCTCCGGCTCCATCGATACCGACGATAGCAGCCACGCGTAGATCGAATTCTCCACAGCAGCAGCAGCAGCAGGGATTGATGCTGGGCTCCGGCGATCTGTGCGACGATCACGACGTCAAGGCCCCAAAGAAGAGAGCCGAGACTTGGGCCCAGGAGGAGATCCGAGCTCTCATTGCGCATCGCCGGGAGATGGACAGCTTGTTCAACACGAGCAAATCCAACAAGCACCTGTGGGATCTCATCTCGAGCAAGATGAAGGAGCGGGGATTCGACAGGTCCCCCACAATGTGTATCGACAAGTGGAGGAATTTGCTCAAGGAGTACAAGAAGGCGAGGCACCACGACAAGAATGGTGGAGGTGGCAGTGCTAACAAGGTTGGCTGCTTCAAAGAACTGGAAGATCTTCTGTCCGAGAGAGCCCGGCTAAATCCATACAAGAGTCCCAGCAAACTGGATGCTTCTCCCAAAGGTACTTTCTCTTTGGATTTGTATGGAAGTTCCCTCGTTTGTTTGATCTCTAGATCTTTTCTTTCTCTCTTTCTCAGTCACTACTACTTCGCGAAACCAGTTCAATCTGGAGAGCAGGCTGGAGAGCGAAGCAAATCACCATCTCAGTTCCTCCAACGATCTCGCTGTAGCAAACGGCTGGAACTGGAAAGAAGGTTTGCGTTTTCTTGTTTGATTCTTTTCTTCTTCTCACTCTTGGAAAGCTCTACGTAGCGGGAGGAGCACAGCGCAGCTCGTTGCCCGCTGGAAAGATCATAACTATCCGATACAACAGCGTGACGAGGCGCGTAGGGATCGATGGCTCGCCGGATTCAATCCGAGAGGCGATCAAGGCTGCTTTCCGGCTGAGAACCAAACGAGCGTTCTGGCTCGAGGACGAAGACGGCGTCGTGTGGAGCATCGATCGCGACATGCCATTGGGAAGCTACATTCTCAACCTGGACGAAGGTAGCTATCATCATTCGCGATGATCTTCTCAATGACAATGCTCTTCCAGGCGTGACGATCAAAGTTTGCCTCTACGACGAGTCCGATCGTCTCACGGGAGCCACCGAGGACAAGACGCTGTTCACGGAGGACAACTTCAAGGATTTCCTAGCTCGGCGTGGATGGACGGGCGTCAGGCAAGTAGGCGGCTTCCAAGACGTGGAGTTTCTTCACGAGCTCCACCCCCTGTGCGTTTACCAGCGAGCCGGCCTCTTGGGCGCTTGACAGGTTCATATAAACTCGTAAAGCTTCGCTCCTTTGAATCTTCTCGACCAGGCTCTCACTGTGTTCTACCAGTAATCCCCGCAGGAACACACCCCGTTCTCAAAGTGGTGGAACCGGCTCAAGTCCCGGAACACGATCCGCCGCTGCTCGATCGCCGAGATGAGCTTGGCGGCGTCGTGGCAGTCCTTGCAAACCCGGAGGTTCTTGATCACTCTGATCGGGCTGCCGGCCGGGGTGTTGAGCAGCCCAAACGCCACCGCCAGCTTCTCGCTATGCCAGAGAAGAACTTGCTCCTTCTCCTCCTCGGCAACGTCGTGGAGAACGAGCGAGGTGTCTGGAACATACCCGGCCTTCTTCATCGCGCTGCTCAGCTCCTGGAGCTTGGCCCGGATGGGATTCATCTGGACGTGGCTCATGTCCCCGGCCACGAACTCGAAGACCCTCCCCTCCACCTCGATCGCGCTGCGCCCCGGATCCTTCCTCACGCCGCGCTCCACCATGAGGCTCCGGATCCTGGCCGCCTCCTCCCACTTGCCGGCCGCGCGGTAGATGCTCGCCAGCACCACGTAAGGCATGGACTCGTCCCAGAAACTCTCGAGCATCCTCTTGGCGATCCTCTCGCCGCGGTCCACGTCCTTGTAGCTCCGGCACGCCGAGAGTAGCGATTTGAGCACCGCGGCGTGTGGAGCTCCCGGCATCCTGTTGAGAAAGCCCTCCGCCTCGTCGAGGTAGCCGGCGCGTCCCAGGAGATCCACCATGCACGCGTAGTGCTGGGCGTCTGGAGCGATGCCATAGCGCGCGGTCATGAGATCGAAGTACTTGCGGCCCTCCTCGACGAGCCCCTTGTGGCTGCAAGCGCTGAGGAGATGGACGAAGGTGACGTAGTTGGGCTTGTGGCCTTGCTCTTGCATTCTCTGGAACGTTGCCAGTGCTCGATCGATATGCCCGTGCTGGGCAAATGCGGCGAGCATCGCAGTCCAGGAGACGGTGTCGTGCCGCTCGATCCGAGCGAACGCCTCCACCGCCTCGTCCAAGCAGCCACACTTGGAGTACATGTCCACGATCGCGGTGGCCACCGCCACCTCCGAATCCACTCCGTGATCCCTGGCGATGGCGTGCACGCGCTTGCCATCCCTGAGCGCCGCCAGGCTCGCGCAGGCGTCCAGGACTTCCATGAGCGTCACGCTGTTGGGCTCGATCCTCCGCGCCAGGAGCTCGTCGAAGAGCCGAATCGCCTGGCGGCTGTCCCCGTGCTGGACGTAGGCCGCGATCATCGCATTCCAGGGGAAGATGTAGCTCCTGTCCGTCCGCGCGAAGATCCTGGCAGCGAGGTGGAGGTTGCCAACTTTCGCGAAGGCGCTGAGCACCGTGACGAGCGACATGTTGTTGGGCTCCATCCCGGCGGCCTCCATCCGCGAGAAGACCTCGAGCACCTCGCGGAATCGCCCACTTCCAGCGCAAGCATTGATCATCGTCGTGTAGGACACCGCGTCTCTCTTCTCCTCCAGGCTCTCAAAATGCCGCCAGGCGGCATCCATTCGCCCACATCGCGCGTACATGTTGAGCACCGAGTTGTTGACGAGCGTGTTCTTCGCTAGATCGGTCTCCTCCACGATCATCCGGTGGATCGCCCGCCCCTGTGCCGCCAGCGAGGGATCCGAGCACGCCGAGAGGACGTGCACGAAGACGACGCGATCCGGCTTGAGCCCCTCCATCTGGAGCCGCGAGAAGAGCTTGAGCGCCTCGCGGCTGTTCGCGAGCACTGCCGCGGCGCCGGCCTTCTTGGCGTTGCTGTGCGCGTGCGCGGCGATGAGCGCCGTCCAGGAGAAGAGATTGCGGTCGCGCATGCGGTGGAAGAGATCCACGACGTCGGCCGCGCAGCCGCATTTGCCATACATGTCGAGGAGGAAGTTCCCCAGGACGAGCTCGCGATCGAGGCCGTGCTTGGCGAGGTAGGCGTGGAGCTTGCGGCCCTGGTCGAGAGCGCGCATCTTGCCGCAGCTCTGGAGGAGGCCCGGGAGCATGATGTGGTTGACATCCGGCGAGCGATCGTCGAGCCGGGCGATGCATTCTGCGAGGCCGGCGAGGCGATCGGATGGACGCTCCGGCTGTGGGGCGGCAGCAGCCTGGATATTTCGAGCGAGGAAGCGCGTATCGATCGAGGATTGCCTCGCGCGCCGCGCCAAGAGCATTGACAAGGAGAAACCCTAGCCTAGTGTTCTTCCTCCACAGCCACTCGCGATGATCCATCGAGCAGGGAAGATCCTCATCGATGCATTCTGTGAGGCCGATCTGATTGCGAGAGATCTGGATATTTCCAGCGAGGAAGCGCCTATCGATCGACGATTCCCTCCCGCGCCTAGCCAAGAGCATTGACAAGAAGAAACCCTAGTCTTCCTCCACAGGCATTTGCGCGATCCATCGCCAAAATCCACGAGAGACATCGCTGAAGATCCATCCATCGAAACCAAAGAAGCGAAGATCGTCACGAGAGTGATCTATTCGAGCGAGCTATCCATTCATCGCTAGTAGAACTATAAAAGAACTTAAAAATGCAATATTATAACTCGGCCTTTCCAGTAGATCTGGGAAATGGTATCACATCCCTGATGTTCTCTAGTCCTGTGACGAAGAGGAGCATCCTCTCGAATCCCAGCCCAAATCCCGAGTGCTTCACGCTTCCATAGCGTCGCAAATCCAAGTACCACTCGTATGAATCCAGTGGCAGCTCTAGTTCTTCTAGCCTGCAAGATCAAGCACACACCATTTCACCGCAGAGCTCTTGCGAAAATCTCAAATCCGCCATACCTTTGGACGAGCACCTCGTATCTCTCCTCTCTCTGGCTCCCTCCCACAAGCTCGCCGACCTGGAAAAACGCGATTTTCAATCACTTTGGCTATGCTTCTCCTGTGATAGAAAGCTTCTCACCTTTGGCACGAGCATGTCCATGGCTGCCACGGTCTGGCCATCGTCGTTAACTCGCATGTAGAACGCCTTGATTGCCTTTGGATAGTCGTATACAAAGACGGGCTTTTGGAAGAGCTGCTCTGCGAGATATCTGCAATGAAAGATCATCAAGAAAAGATCGATTTTGTTTTCTCTCTAACATACCTTTCGTGCTCGGATGCTAAATCCATTCCCCATTCCACTGGAGTTTCGAAGGTAAAGTCTTTCACCTACGAGAAGAAGGATCACGCAAAGGAAAACCAGAGAATCACGAACCTCCTTTAGCATCTCGATTGCTTGTGTGTAAGTTATCCTCGCGAACGGAGCGCTGACAACGTTCTGGAGCCGCTCCAAGGCACCGCTCTCAGTGAGCTTGTCGTCCATAAGCTTGATATCATCGTAACAGCGATCCAGTAACCACTGGCACATGAATTTCACGTAGTCTTCCGCACAGTCCATATCATCCTGCCACCACAAATTCAACTCATGGGATCAAGTTTCCAAAACGAGAAACCTCTAACCTTGAGCTCCGCAAATGCAAGCTCCGGTTCCACCATCAGAAACTCTGCCAAATGCCGGGATGTATGAGACTGCTCCGCTCGAAACGTCGGGCCGAAAGTGTAAACGTTGCTAAGAGCGCAAGCGTACGTCTCAGCTTGGAGCTGGCCAGAGACTGTCAGGAACGCTGGTCGCCCAAAGAAATCGGCCGAGTAGTCAGCACCCCCGTCCTCGGCCCGTTTGACGAGCCTGGCTTCTTCGTCTTTGGCCGCTTTGAGCTGTTTCACGGCGTCGCCGATCTCCGCTTTGCTGCTCGACTTCTTCTCCTTGAGCTTCCGGACAGTATCTCCGCATCGGGTGACCAATTCCCTGGCAGCATCGATCTGGTCTTGCGTCGACGCCACGAGGTGTTCCCTCTTCTCGGGAGCGAGCAAAGTCGTGACTTGGAACATCTCGCCGGCGCCCTCGCAGTCGCTGGTTGTGATGATTGGCGTGTGGACGTGGATGAATCCCTGCTGCTGGAAGAATGTGTGGGTGGCGAGCACGAGAGCGCTGCGAATGCGAGCGACGGACGATATCTGCAAAACGCGAGCTTAGTAAACAAAGAAACACACAGAGTTGCAACTTTGCTTGGAGCTCAAGCAAAGACTTCTAAGAAACTTTGTGCAAGAAAGAAAGCATGAAGCTCGATCTCAAGGACTGGCAACTTACTAGATCTGTTCTTGGCCGGAGATGTAGAACAGTCCTTAGAAACTCTGGCGGAAGCTTTGTTTTGGCAATGGGATACTTGGATGCGTCGGCGGGAGCAGCGTGTAGGAACTCTCGGGCGTGGAGCTCCACGGCCTGGCCTTTACCCGGGGATAGCACCAATTCTCCTTTCACGAGCAAGCAGCTCCCAGTGTGGAGCTGCTCGGTGTCGAGCTCCTTCTCGGGATCGACGATCACCTGCGAGTAGATCGCACTGAGATTGGACGAAATATTTGGGGAGAGAGGGATTTGCGTACCTGGAGAGACGAAGCACACGATCCATCGCTGAGAGCCAGGAAAACAACGCCGCGATGCGTGCGCCGGGACTTGATCCATCCCCCGACGCACAATGTCTGGCCAGCGAGGGCAGCTCCCCCGTCCGGGCGCGCCAAGATCGATCGGGCGAGCACTCTGTGAGAGTAGCGATGCTCCTCCATAGCTTTCAAACCCTAATCCTTCGCAAAACCTTTCACCCTTCTTTATATAGCTTTGGACCGGCGGGAGAATGATATGAGCCGTCCGATCTTGGGTTTAACGTTTGAAAGGAGGGAAGGAGCTTTGGAGCACGGAGGCGATGGCGAGAGGGGATCCCTCTGCGCAGGTAAAATCGGGAGGGATTTTCTCGAAATATCGTCATCTGGCGTGCCTGATCCATCGATTTCCATGGCCGAGAGTGAAATTTGTTGCGATCGCTTGTCGTCTTGATGGATAGGTCGGCAATGCGAAGGCGCTCATCATGAACCTGCTGCGAGAGATCCATCCTGACGCGCGGGACAATCCCTGATGGGAGAAGGTGCGTTCTTGGGATGATTTTCCTTTTTCTTCCCCAAAATACTTCGATCGAGTCAATTCTTCCAGGAGCTCTTCTTGCTTACAAGCCGCAAGCGCATCCGGCTCCCCAAGAGCGCTGCCAAAGAATCAGAGCTTCTGGCCGAGCTGGTGGATTTGCTCGACAGCAACAAGCGTGAAATCTCCATGCCCGATCTCATCGACGATGCGGTGCTGGAGAAGATTATCCACTACTGGGAGCACGGTGGAGACGTCCGGACGATGTTCTCGAGCTCCGATGAGCTACTCCAGCTCGTGGACGTGAGTTTCCATTTTTTTCTTCTGGAATTCTTTCTTACTTCTTCTCACAGGCTGCGATCTATCTCCAAGCTCAGTCACTCAAGCACGACCTCGCCATCGTCATCGAGCACGAGATTTGCAAAGACAGCAAGACAGTGGCGGACGTTCTTGAGAGGCTCGGGCTCATCCACGAGACACTCACCGCGGAAGAAGAACAAGAGCTCCTGGAGCTCCTGCGACTCGTAAGAACACCTACAGGCATGCTCACTCACTCCAGTAGCTTCTAGCTTACTTCACACTCTTACTCAATTCTCTCACTCACATTCTTTCGAGATTTCTTTCCAAAAGGTATAAATTTCATCTCACGACATCAAACTATCTATCTTCTCGCTACCACCACCGCACGAAACGATCACGCCATCGTGCCAGACACCACAGCTCCACGACAGATCGCGCCACCGGGATTGGGAGGACAGATAACTTTCAAAGCCGAGGCCTTGAACCGAGCTAAGTTTTTGAAGTTCAGGCTTTCTGCAGAATGAGTGATGTTGGAGAAGACTGAATAACTTCAATCGGACAGAGGATGGAAGATTAGATCTTGTCCTCAGCGATCTGGCTGAATCTAGCAAAATCAAAATACGGGATTTGTTTTGTACTGTACATGCAAATACGAATGTCTGAATTGATTTGGAGTTTTGGGCGCAGCGCGCGCGCAAATCGGAGTGTCGGAAGCGGCTGCAGTTCTTCTGCCAGGTGTTGTTCTTCGCGACAATCTGCTCTATTGCTTTGCAATCTCAAACACAACCGGTGAAGGAAAGTATTTTGAGCCAGATTTGATTGGTTAATTGGTGCTATTAGTACTGCTGCTGAATTAACAAATTTTTAATCGTTAAGCACTTTGAGGGTGAAATTAGCCGAAGCAGTTTTATATTACAAATATATTAATTTACACTGATTAGTAGTAAATGAATTATAAATACTATGGCGGGTGCCACCACAAAATTCACTGTTTGAGATATAAGCATCAAAAACTTCAAATATCTGGACAGTTAATGAATTTCACAAACAGGATGCAAAGGAGTTTTGTAGTGATTGGCTGCGTTCCTGTCCAAGACTTAAGAGCCTAGTCAAACATTGGTCAACTCTAAGTCAAACCATGCTTCCCAACTTCTTGGAACGCCGACGTCAAGCTCTTCTTTGACAACGCAGTGTTGGCTTCGTTCGCAAATCTTGAGCGCCCGCTGCTCGATCGATAGCGAAGATCGATAGCGAAGTGGCCAGAGAGATCCAGCCAAGATGGATGAATATCTCGATCCGTCACTGCTTTTACCTCATCTGGGCCTTCTTTTGGGCGCTCATCGTGGAAGCCCGCCTCAGCTCCACGGATCTTCTTCTCTCGTTCGATTGCCTCTGCTGCGTCGATTGCCTGCGCTCTTTCCGGTCGAGAACTCTTAGCCGGGGTGATATAGCTCGCGTCGGTTCTCTTTTGGATCTGCAAACGCGAGAGAGAGCTTCATCAGCGATGGGGAGAGGGAAGGCTGAGTGAGCTACGCACCTGTGCGGAACGAAAGGTTTGCCAAAGACAGGCATGGGCCTGGCTAGCGGGATCATCTCTCTTCGAAGAGCTTTCACTAGTTTGCCTTCTTCTACCTGTAATTTGGTAGCAGCACTTGTCAAGAGCTGCAAAGAGAAGGAGAAACGCGCTTATACTTACTCTTCTCGCAGCCTCGAGTTCTTCCCTGATGTGCTTGTAATGATTTTGCTTCTCCATCACCTAGCAGCCATGAATGAGCAAAAATGCAGTGAGCATGTGATTCACATACCTTTTTATCGAATTCTGCCCGCTCTGCCGCACGAGCTTCAGCTCGGAAACAAAACTCTTGGACCTCAGTAAGAGGAGCGCGTGATCGTTCAGGCATAAAAACGAAGTCACTGAAAAACAAAGAAAAAGAACGTGAGATGAAAACGCAAGGGGTGATGAGACTTACAAGACTGGAGCTGGTTGAGCATGGAATTGCCTCATTGCCGCTTCTTCAAGCTCAAGTCTGGCGAGCTCCTCGGCTTTCCTTTGAAGTTCTTCTTCGTGTCTCACAAGGCTTTCAAGTTCAAACGGCTCGGGTCTCGTGCAGTCCTTCGGTTGTGGCTTTGGTGGAATCTACAGCAAAAAGAAGAAGGTGAGGCCAGCCACGGGGAAGTGCATACATACCGCTGGAATGTCCGTAGTGAAAGGAAGAGGATTTGCTTTAGGGACTCTTAAGTTACGCTCCTCTAGTTCTCGCTCAAACAGCTCTTGCATGAACCTCGTTTTGTTTGCTTCTCCACGATGCTGTCAAGAGAATACGGAGATGAGTGCACTAGCAGTTTCTTTCTCAAACCTCTGTCACAAGGTGGAACGGACGAGGTACAGTTGGACCCGCTGGACAATGTGCCTCCTGAGAATGGAGTGAAAGCTAATCAACACCAAGAGCAGCAGAATTACTAGCCTAGTCAAGGCATTGTGTGCTTTACTCACCTTTTCGAGCTTTTCAGTTATAGTAGTATCATGATCATTAGATGGATGTTGACATCGCTCATCAGTAGCAAAATGAAATTCCTACGAAGGTCAGAACCGTGAGAGAAACGACCGTGAAAAAAGTTAATGACAAACTCTTACCACCGGGACTGTAAGTTGGCGCTTTTGACTTCTGAAAATGCCCAGATCGCCTCGGCTTTCAAAGATCTGAAAAAACATGTGAGATGATGAATTTGCAAGCAGTTTCACACCTTCTTGTTCAGAGGACGTGCTTTGAATTTTGGCACCTTTTGTAGTTCCTCTATTTCCATTTCCTCTCTGCTTTTCACCCTGCATAGCAAATGTTAGATACAAATGCATCGATCCAACTAGCGCCTACTTTGTTGGACGTGCTCTGGCAGCTGTATGAAGTTGCGGCTCACGAGGTTCTCTGAGGTCGCCGGGAGCAGACTTCCGTCTCTCATTTACATCTGACACCTGTCATACAAGCCAAATCAAACAAAATTCGAACCATTTCGGTAAAATATGTTCTTACCGAAGCCTCCGATGCAGAACATATGTGTTGCAAGGCACGTTCCGTAGTTCTCAAATGGAACTCCTAAAAATGACATATGGAATTTTGATCTAGTCAAGTTTTACAGTATACCTGGAACTCTGGTTGTTGTGCATTACGTTTTGAGATAGCAGGAACATGAGGAGCTTCAAAAATCTGAGACACAGACGTTATGATATAGAAACTGTGAATACTAGTACAGTACCTTCTTATTCATCGGTCGGGCTTTGAACTTCGGAATTTTTGCCAACATTTCCTCTTCAAGTTCAGCGGTGCTTTTAACTCTGAAACAGTCACCATTGTAGGGTCTGGCAGAAAGAAATTGGTCTACCTTGGGGGCCGAGCTCTATGAGAAGTTTCGAGTTCCGGTTCTTTTGGTACTGTTAGCTTCAGTGCCGACTTTTGATGTTGCAATAAAGAAGTGGACAACTCCTAGTCATACCAAAGCCATAGTTGTTAGCCACGGCACATGCAACCATCAAATTACCTGTTGAGAGTGATTACGAAATCTCTCAGGGGTTTTAATCTGGAACTTTAGAACTTTCTCGGCCAGCGACATGAAAGGCGAACCCGGTTTTCCTCCCTGGAGCAAATAAAAAGGCAATCACCAGATAGTGCTAAACAGTAACATCAGAAGCGAATGCATTACCTGCTTTACACATCCGGTTTCCACCTTTTGTTTCTTGTTTGCGTTTTCATCCGTGCCCATCACCATCTCGATACTCTTTTTCATCTTCTTCACTACAGTATCTCGAGCATATCTAAGAAAATTAAAGACGATCAGTCAGCTCCAGTGAGAATCTCAGAGAATCCATCCATACCTTGTCAAGCTTCGCATTGAATTCTTAGGCGCCGTGAGAGCCTGGCCATGCTTGCTAGCGTTGGAACAAAGCGGCCGCTTAAACGGCGTGGTTGTAGAGGGGCAATCCACAACATTCACAGAGATTTCCTTGAGCGGGCTTGGCTTTGGAACTTCTATCACGGTTGCTGGCATCACTTTGACTGGCGCTGGAGCCATGTTTTCAATGTCGTCCATGGCGCTGCTAGGGACAGCCTCACTGCCATTCGCCTTGTCCGCGTGAGCTGTGGATCTCACCTTAGCATCCGAGAAGAAAAAGAGAGGCAGAGAGATCGAAGGTCACTTACGCGAATCCTCGTAGCCCCTGGCGCTCTCAAACCAGTGCTCCGCCTCGTCAATGTCCATCTTCGACTCGCCGGCGACGAAATCATGGTACCTAGGCGCAGAGAACTCGTATTTCGGATCAAGAACAAACTCCTCGCTCGCCATCGAGCCCGAAATCTCGACGATCCTCACTCACACTCCAGCTCCCCCGATCGATCAGAACAACGGCTACACAAAACCTAGTGAAGATCGCGGCCGCGGACTCTCGAAAGAAGAAGAAGAAGAGATAGGGTTTCTACCCGTTCGACAAAAGCCCCAAGTTAAAAGTTTCAACGGTCATTTCCGTACAATCTCTTTTAGGGTTCTTCACGGCAGTGCCCTAGCTATGGCGGAGGAGGCTTCTCTGGCGCCCCGGAGAGTCGCGGCGCCGCCCAAGCGATTCGTGCGGCAACAGGTACCTGATAGCATTCTCAATGATCCGCGCTTGAGAGCGGCGATCGCCAGGCTTCCGTCCAACTACAATCTGGAGATCCCGAAGACAGTGTGGCGGATCAAGCAGGCAGGGGCGCGTCGCGTCGCGCTCCAGCTCCCAGAGGGCTTGCAGATGTTTGCGCTCCCGCTGTGCGATATCCTGGAAGAATTCGCGGCAGTGGAGGAGTGCTTCGTCCTCGGGGATGTGACTTACGGGGCTTGTTGTATCGACGATCTCACTGCCGCTGCTCTTGGTGCCGATTTCCTCGTCCACTATGGCCATAGCTGCTTGGTTCCGATCGACGTGACACAGGTTCCCAGCCTCTATGTGTTCGTGGACATCCAGATCGACGTCGAGCATATGATCGAGGCTCTTAAGTTCAACTTCGAGGCTGGAAGCCGGCTTGCTCTCTGTGGAACGATCCAGTTCTCTTCGGCGATCCACTCCGCGAGGATGGGGGTGGTGGATTTTTTCTCGGAGGTGGTAGTGCCGCAAGCAAAGCCTCTCTCCGCTGGAGAAGTTTTGGGATGTACAGCGCCGGCTATTTCAAAAGGCTCGGTCGATGCGGCGGTGTTTGTAGCGGATGGAAGGTTCCATCTCGAAGCTTTCATGATCGCAAACCCGGGGCTGAAAGTTTACAGGTATGATCCATACACAAAGGCTTTGAGCAATGAGGAGTATGATCAAGCAGGGATGAGAAAGGCGCGTAGAGCAGCTATAGAACAGGCGCAGAGAGGGAAGAGCTGGGGCGTGATCTTGGGAACTCTAGGCAGGCAAGGGAATCCACAGATACTCCGCCACCTCGAGAACAGGCTAGCCGAGAGAGGGGTCGTCTACAAGGTGTTTCTCATGAGCGAGATGTCCCCGGCCAAGATTGGACTTTTGGAAGAAACCATCGATGCATGGATCCAGATTGCGTGTCCGAGGCTTTCGATCGATTGGGGGGAGGCATACGGTCGTCCGCTGCTCACTCCATACGAGGCGGAAGTTGCTCTGGGTTTCACAAGGCCGTGGTGGAAGAGGTGTTCTCCGGGGAATGAAGGCCATTTGGATTGTTCGTCATCGTGCTGCTCCTGTGGTGACAAAGACGTTCTGGGTGATTATCCTATGGATTACTACGCGAGAGATGGCGGGCCTTGGAACTCGGTCTACAACAGGAAGCCAACCAAGGCGAGATCGTGAGCGGCGACTTTTTCTACGAAACGATGGTACAACAAACTTAGAATCAACGCGATCGTCACGGAATCGTCGTCAGAGAATCGCCAGTTCGTCACTCTCTGGTAAGTTCACCATTTTGTTTTCGCCGGACAGGGTTGTTCTAACGAAATCTGAATCCACAGCTCGACGATCTCTCGGCAAAGTTCACTGGTTACTCGTGCTCCGGTAAATCTTCGTATTTTCCTGCAGGGAGTGACTGGGACGGAGTTTCGGTTTTAACTGCATTGTTGATTTACTACTTATACTGCCGCTAAAATTTTTCCGAAAAATTCAGGGACACTCCAAATCGATCAAAGCATCAAAGTCAAACTTCGGGTACACACGATCCAAATCTTGGAAGAACAGAAGCTGCGATTCCATTTCCATCGAACAAGCAAGGAGAATGGTGCTAAAAGAATCGACATAATCGCACTTAACTAGTGGTATAAGCAGGGATTAGCGGCGTGGTGTTTGAAAGTTTCTCACATTATGGCCTGGTCCAAACGAAGTTTTCGAAGTTTCCCCGTTCTTGCCACGTCGGCGTCCTTTATAGTTTTAGGCCGGCCCTTTTGTCAATGGATGCTCCTTGCATTGCGCCATAGGGTTCCCGCTAGCCAGGGGAGGCGGAGGATTGCTCGCAGATAGAAGCGATCGATTTCTTTTTGTTGCCGCAGCTACCAGCGCACGCATCTAGGAAGGGGAAGCGCAAGCGCGCAGCGACCGATCGATCGCTCGCGCTTTCGATCGCATATTTCGCGATATTTCGTGCTCTGCATGCGCCGATCGCGTGTGCGCTACAGGTACCGAGCATCCCGGATCTATCCTTGTTTTTGTTTTGAAATATCTGGCGCCCGGAGCACAGCATCGGCGCTGCTCGGCGCGTCCGTGGATTCTCTGCGGTTGAGAAGCTCTGGAATACCGTTAAGGTGAGTGATTTCGGGCATTTCTCTGGAATTTCTCTCTGGAATCTCTCCTATCTTGCTTGAATTGGATTCTTGCCATGCGCTTTCTTTCTTTGATAGTGATTTATTCTTCTCTCTGAAGGCGATAGTTCCTAGAGGCGCTCGGGCGGGCGAGAATGGGGCAGCCTGCTCCGGAAGATAATGTCATTACATTGCTCGGGATTACTCTCACTGGCAGGCCCCGATGGATCCAGCTCTTGATTTGCTCGGCGGGATTCTTCTTTGGATACACCGTGAACGGCCTTTGTGAGGTGCGTGTGTGGCAATCAGTATCAGTGCTCCCTAGCTAGACCAGAGGCGTTTAGTTCATCATTTTTTTTTCCTGTGCCCTTTTCAAACTTTTTCTCCAAATTTTTGCAGGAGTACGTTTACAATCGCCTCCAATTCAGGTTTGTGAGCATCTTTGTTTGAGGGACTCTTGGCTGATGTTTTTTCTATGTTACAGCTATGGCTGGTACTTCACCTTCGTCCAGGGATTTGTCTACCTCGCGCTGATTTTCTGGCAAGGATTTCGAGTGAAGCATGTCTTGAACCCCTGGAAAACGTACATCAAGCTCTCTGCGGTTCTGATGGGATCTCACGGGCTTACAAAGGGATCGCTCATGTTTCTCAACTATCCAGCGCAGATAATGTTCAAGTCCACCAAGGTTTGGTTCTGGTTTGTTTTTCTTTGTTAGCTGCTTACGTGGGCGTGACACAAGCAGGTTCTACCGGTGATGATAATGGGCGCTTTTATTCCTGGCTTACGACGAAAATATTCATTCCAGGAGTATGTGTCGGCAGTGATGCTCGTTGTTGGACTCGTGATATTCACGCTGGCGGACGCTCACACTTCCCCCAACTTTCACATCTTTGGAGTGATCATGGTAGTGGGAGCCCTCGTGTTGGACTCATTCCTGGGCAACTTGCAAGAAGCGATTTTTACCATGAACCCAGCAACGTCACAGGTACATTCACCTCGCAAGATAAATATTATAATGCTGGTGCCTTCCAGATGGAGATGTTATTCTGCTCGACAGCAGTGGGCCTTCCATTCTTGATCCCGCCGATGGTTTTGACTGGCGAGGTCTTCAGAGCTTGGACCTCATGCTACAATGTAAGCACTAGTAACTGTGTTCCTCCAAAACTCTAAAGCTTTGTTACTTGGGCAGCATCCATATGTTTACCTGGTCCTTGTGTTTGAAGCGATGGCAACGTTTATAGGCCAACTCTCCGTCCTCTCCCTCATTGCCCTCTTTGGAGCTGCCACCACCGCCATGGTAAGTCACGCTCTCCATTTCACATATTCGTTTACACTATAGCTGGAATCGTTATCTCAGGTGACCACAGCGAGAAAGGCAGTGACTCTCTTGCTATCATACGTGATCTTCACGAAGCCAATGACCGAGCAGCACGTAACGGGGCTGCTGCTAATCGCCATGGGAATCATCTTAAAGATGCTCCCGGAATCGTCCTCTAGCGCGCCCCCGCCAAAGCCGTCACCTCAGCGTCCCTACACAAAAGTCTCCCAGCACGAAGTAGAAGACGGCCGAGAATTTGACGAGAGACGAGTGTCGGAAAACGTGTGACAAAGAGACACGCGCAAGAGAACTAACAAAGAGACAACGAGGACGACCGGGTCACGCAGGAAGCTCGTGTACAAATTGGAGATGGTGGCCGGGTGAATAATGCTGGTGGATGGCGTGAGGGAGATTCTTTGATTTTTGAAGGCTTGTAGTGTCAAGAATATACCCAGAATAACCAAGTATATTCTAAAATGCAGTATACTTATTGTGATCAAGCAAATTATTAAGCTTAAATTTTTCGTTTCATTAGTTTGTAGGCCCTGGAATCAAGAACTCCTCAATAATGTAGATGAGCTTAAACACTGCCTTTATGTGAGCATTTCCCCAATGCTGAATGTGCTAATGATTGTAGGCCATGTATGTGTAAAAGTTTTAAAGTTCTTCCCAATGATTAATTGAAATTAACACTCACCCCATAGTTGCCAATTCCCAGCCAACTTTGACAATAGTGATGGCCTGGCTGAAGCTTTGGAAAACAATGGAAGTGGATGTATTTTTGTACTTAGAGAGCTTCTTCAACTTTTGAGTAGAAATTTAATTTAATTCTAAAACATTTTTAGAAAAATATCTCAAAACTCAATTTTGCCATCACAATAACTAATTGTTGTATCTTAGAATTTGGATTATCATTTATATTTCTTACCTCTATCTTTATAAAAACCATTTGCAAGCATTTAATTCAAAACTGCAAAATCTTGAATTACATTATATTACAATACTTAATAGTTATTTTTTTAATTTTAGATATCCTCCTAATGTTGAATTTTTGACTCATGTTGAAATCAAATTTACCATTATCATTGTCTATAACTCATTTTTATAATTTACAAAAAATTTAGGGCAAAAAATTTTATTTATAATTTTTATAATTTAATTTTTTAAACTATCTGTTTACATTTTATTATATAAAAATTACCAAAACTTGAAGCTGTGACTCATCAGCATCAGATCGATCTTTCTATGACCTTTTTGTTAATTAAAAAAAAAGGTAAAAAGTCTTAACACAGTAATTAAAACTATTAACTCTACTTTTACCCTAGTTGTTACCATTTTTAAATTCGGTTGCAAAGCCCAAGAAAACACTTTTTCTAAAGTGCAGGAGCTCCTTGAAATAACTTATAATTTTTATATATATTTTTTTTATTTTCATATTTATTATTAAAACACTTTAAATTTAAAATAAGTTAAAAATTAAAAATTTAACCCTAAAATCTTTCTAAATTATAATAATGAGTTATAAAAAATGATGGTGATAAATCTGATTTTGAAGTGTTTTTTAACTAAAATTTTGGGGATCTTAAGGCTTTGGCATGTTATTATATACAGTTATATTTAAGTTTAAAAATGTCTTTTATATCTATATATATAATTTAAAGTATTACTATCTCAAATAAAATAAAAATTCTAGTGGCAGTAATCATAATAGATCAGAATATTTCATTTTTTCTTATGTATTAGAAAGTTTTTTAAATTTTATTTGATTATATATAATTTAATCAATATTTTTGTTTCTACATATTAAAGAAAAAGTGCAAGTGAGTTATATTAATAGCTACACAAGAAAATAGTTATAGAAGTATTTAATAAAACTTAATACAATAAAAAATTAATAAATAGATTTAGTGTGCATGTAAATATATTTTATAAACATTAGTTCAAACAATGCAAAATATTTACTTTTCTTATAAATTATTTATAATTAAAATTTTATTAGATAATATTTTTAAATAAATGATACAAAAAGCTACAGTGTTATTTAAATATTTTAATTATTGTACATAATAAATATATGTAATTTTCTATATTAGTTTTTTATGAATAAAGTGATTTTATTTTTAAATTAATTTTTTCCATTTTAAAAATAAAAATTTATAAAGTTTTAAAAGATCCTATATAAAAAGATTCTAAGCAAGGTTGATCTTGACTATTCAGCAATGTATGTTTAAATATAATGCCCAAAAATTTTAGTAACATATGTGTTAATTAGTTTAGTGAAGTGCCATATATTTTCTACAATAGTGAAATTTCTAATACTTAACTATTTTGTGGAAAATATAAGTAAAGAGTTGTGCAATATAAAATTATGCCAAATCAGGCATTATTGTTTAACTATTTTAAAATTTACATTCAATAAAATAGTAATTTACATTTTATAGCATAAATTAAATTTTTTTTAGAATGTTTCATGAACGGAGCTTTATAACTATATTCAAGAATGATTGGTATCCTAATGAAATGCAATTAGAATTAACAATAATTATAATTTTTTAAGAGAAGTTTAAATAATTTTTTAGAGGTTTTTCTATTAAAACATTACAGTTAATTAATATTAATACTATTACTCATAGTAAAGTTTAATCAATAATATTTTATTAATATCTTTTGTTTTGATTTAACAAGAATAGGTTTTTCGTACATGTTAGTACGGACAGAAGCAGGGTTCTTGAGCAACTAGGTAGGGCAGAAGAGAATGGGGAGCCGCGGCCGTCCTGGTCAGCTGCGCGTCCAAGCCTGCTTCAAATGCAAGAGGTAAGCGTTCGATCGATCGCTCCAGCGCCAGGTTTCAAAGACTTGATCTTCCAGAAAGGGGCATATGGCGTGGGAGTGTGAAGAGGGCGTGATTTGTAGCAAATGTAAAGAGAAAGGGCATCACCAGCGAAACTGCAAGAACGTTACCTGTCACAAGTAAGCATCCTTTTCCTCGTTTCGCTCATTCTCCAATGGTTCTCCCTCTCTCAGGTGTAAGAGGAAGGGCCATACCTCGAATTTCTGCAATGATCCAGACGTAAGGGTGAGTGATCTTCATTCTTTCGTCCTCGATCTTCCTTTTTCTCGTGGATAGTTGCTGATTAGACGTCGCAGAATCACATTTACAGGCAAGGGAAGCGGAGAAGATGGAACTGCAGCTCCAACTCCAGCTCAAGCTAAGGGAGAAGCGAAAGAGCTCGCAGCAGCGCAAGAGCGACGTTGTCAGTCTCTGGGATGGACTTGGAGATGGCAAGAAAAAGAGGAAATCGTCCGGGGATGGTGTTGCTACCGCGATCGCTCCACCCAAGACGAGGAGGACGACGAGTGTGGCAGCTCCCAAGATCATCGCTCCCGAGCAGGAGAGCAAGAGCAGAGATTTTGGCCAAGAACTCAAAGCTGATCTCCAGCCCAGTTTGGTTTGCTACGATTTTGACGACGAGAGTGATTCTCCGGAGTAAGTAAATGCGCTCTTTTTTCCTGCTGTTTTGTCTCGGGGAAATTTACAGTGATTTTCTTTCTTACTTTGCATTCCTTGTATATAAAAAAGTGGTATGTACGGAGTATTTATTCTGTATGCTTTTGAAATAAAAATATTCGGTTTCTGGGATATTCGTTTTATGGTCAAGCATATGCTTTTTCTTGCTCGCGCGAAAATGGAGAGAGATAGATGAGGCTTCTCTTCCGCCGCTCGCGAGGAGCACGAAAGCGATCGCCAAGAGCTACTCCAGACGCGCCGCCGGATCCGCCATCGCGGAGCATTGGCCTGGACGAGGAAGATCGTCTTGGGTTCCTCCTGCGATCATGCCAGAGCCCCAGAGATCTTCCCCGCGGCCAGGAGCTGGAGCGAGAGATCTCGGCCAGCGGCTCCCACCGCCACAGCACTTACCTCGCCAATCTCCTCATCCAGATGTACGCCAAGTGCGGCCGCGTCGATCAGGCGCGCCGGATCTTCGATGGCATCGCCGCCAAGAACAGCTTCTCTCACAATCTCATGCTCAGGGCCTACGCGCAGAGCGATGGCATCGAAGAGATGGAGCGCGTCTTTGCGAAGATTGGAAACGGGAATTCCGTGGGCTGGAACACGATGATCGCAGCATATGCCAGAACCGGGCATCTGGATCTTGCGAGAGCTTTGTTCGATCGGATGGAGAACCGGGACAGCGTAACGTGGAACGCGATCGTCACGGGCTACGCGAGGCACGGGAAACTCACAGAGGCCAAGATATTGTTCGATGAGATGATCGATCCGGGCGTTGTGGCTTACACCGCAATGATCCAAGCGTATTCCCAAGCCGGGCACTTGCGTGGCGCGAAGAAGCTCTTCGATTCCATGCCGCTGGGGAGGAACTCCATGGCATGGGTGACAATGCTCCAGGGATTCGTGGAGTGCGGCGAGATGGCGGATGCTTGGAGCTTGTTTTTGAAGATCCCCCAGCGGGGAGTGGTGGCGGAGAGCATCGCGATCACAGCGGCAGTGGCGGGCGGAGATCTGGATCGAGCGAAGCGCGTGTTCTTGGCGATGCCCGAGAGGAATCTGGTGGCCTGGACGACGATGCTGGGCGGGTTTGCGCAGGGGCTGAGTCTCCGTGGCGCCAAGAGACTCTTCGATCGGATGCCCGCCTGGGGCGTCGCGAGCTTCAACACGCTGCTGGTGGCGATGGCGCAGTCCGGGCGGATCGAGCAGAGTTTGGTACTCTTCTCGGGCTTCCCGGAGCGTGATCTCGTCTCGTGGACGGCGATGGTGGCGGCGTATGCCCACTCGGGGTATGGCCAGCGAGCTCTTGAGCTCTTCCGGGCTATGATGGCCGAGGGGCATCACCCCGACGCCATCGCCTTCGTGAGCGTGCTCAACGCGTGCAGCCACATTGGGATTGTGGAGGAGGGCGTGCGCTGCTTCATGGCGATGGTGGCGGACTTTGGAATCGCCCCGTGGCGCGACCACTTCTCCGCCATGGTGGATCTCTTCTCGCGAGCCGGGCAGCTCCAAAACGCGCGGGATCTCATCGAGACGATGCCGTTCCTGCCCGACTCGATCGCCTGGGGCGCGCTGCTGGCAGGCGCCAGGACCCATCGCCGCCTGGAGTTCGCGGAGCTGGCGTCGGCGCGGGTGGCGGAGCTCGACCCGGAGCGCTCGGCGGCGCCGCTGGTGGCGCTGGCTGGGATGTACTCCGCCGCCGGGCGGGCCAGCGACGCCGCCAGGATCCGCGACGTGATCCGCGAGAGGGGGCTGAGCAAGCTCGCGGGATTGAGCTGCGTGGAGATTGGAAGGAGCCTCCACCGCTTCGCCGCCAGCGATTCGAGCCACCCGAGAAACGAGGAGATCCGCGCGGAGCTGGAGAGGATCCATGAGCTGATGCGCGAGGAGGGATACGCGGCGGATGCGGAGGTGGCGAGCGAGGCGCTCAAGCTCCACAGCGAGAGGATGGCGGTGGCGCTGGCTCTGATCGAGGAGCCGTGCTCGCGGGAAACTATCCGGGTGATGAAGAACCTGAGAGTGTGCTGCGATTGCCACACTGCTTTGAAGCTCATGGCGAAGATCTCCCAGCGGCGGATCGTGGTGAGGGACACCAGCCGCTTCCACCACTTCGATCGAGATGGGAGCTGCTCTTGCGGAGATTATTGGTAGTAAGATTCCCTTGCCACCTTTTTGCTCAAACTTTTGTTAGTAAATTAACTTTCTTGGTGATAAGCCTACCGCTAAGTGTTCCAGGGTGGTGCACTGCCCATTCTTCAATAAACCTACAGAGTCTGAGCAAGGACAGCCGAATCAAGTAGTGTCATTGAACAATTGGGACTAGACAGCAGCACCATCGTTTAGTTAAAATCTTGTTGGATTCTGAGAGCGGGAGGAGCAAATCCGAGGCCAGCAGGACAAACGGGCAGCCTGCTACGCACGACGCTTTCTACGCCACTTTCGTCTCCTCGTGTAAGACCCTCATCACCAGGCAAGGAGCCTTCTTCCCCACCAGACCTTGATGAGGAAGCTTGGGACGAGTACCAATCGTCCCCATCACCAGCCCCTCCTCCACCCATCTCAGTTTCTACTCCTCCAAGAATGAGTGGCACTGGCGGATCCAGAGGTGGACCACCACCGCTGCCCCTGCCAATGCCTCCTCTGCCAGGAAGGCGTTTTACACACATGAGGTATCCTTCTTTCGCCCATTGCGGGCAATGATGTGGACACACATCTCAATTCCTTTGAGACTGTTGGCATCACCAACCAAGAAGCCGATGAAGCCAATCGCCTTTGGTTCTTCCCTGCTACTCCAAGACGCTGCTCTGGAGTGGTATCTCCAAGCCCAGCATTCTGCACCAGCCAGTATTGCGACCTGGGACCTGCTTCGATCAGCCTTTCTCACTGCTTTTTGGCCTGTGGGATTCGCACAGCAAGTTAGTGAGGAACTTAACTACATTCGATTGCTGCCAAACGAAAGCTTACAAAGTTTTATCATCCGGTTTCAGTGACTAGTTGCTAAAAAGGACCCTCCTCCCAGCAAGGATGATCAGGTTTGCTTCTTCATGAACAGCCTGCCTCCCGAATTGGCTTTCTTCACGAAGGGCCAGACTCCCACAACACTTGCTGAGGCTATTTCCACAGCTTCCAGTCGGGAGCAAGCCCACGTGAGTATGGCTCACTTCCAACAGCCTTTCTACTCTGTTCCTTCAGTGCTTGGTGGTCCTCCAGTGATTCCGCCAACCTTTCCTCCCTGCAAACATCAGCAGCGTCACAGCGTCATCAGCCAGCGTCACAGGAGTTTTCTTTGGCTTTGCTTTGTTATCCTTTGCTTACTGATTTAGTGAGTTTATTTTTTCCTGGAACCGTCGATTACAGCTGCCTCTAGCAACATGTACTTCCTGCCGTGGCTACTTCCTCTCAACTCTGCCACAGTCACAAAAAATCTCCAAAGTATGTGATGACTTGAAAACACTCACCAAAAAAATGTCCGAGCTTCAGCTTAACTGGATTCGAGGAGTTTAGACACCGCCTCAACCCATTACTGAACGTGAGAATATCTGGTGTACTTGTTGCAAGGGATATGGACATTATCCCAGCAAATGCCCAAGTCTTGCACCAGCTTGAGTTAAGTGCCAGCACTGTAGACGAAATAATAACAGGTCAGAGCACTACATGTATAAACCCGGTACCTCGGCTCAGCCAGCTCCTCACATGCCTGCATGTCCCAGCTACCACGTCCAGCCCCAGCTCCTTCAAGATCTATCGCCACCTCTGGTTCTACAAGGTTATACACCCGATCTAGTACCCATTTATGCAGCAGCTCCAGCACGAACGAGTAATGGACCTGGAAGGGGTCAAGCTCGATGTCCAATCATCTGCTTTTGTTGCCAACAGCCTGGCCATATCACTCCCAGAGTATCCGAATGCATAAGCACCAATTGAGTACCAGCCCATCTGCGGCATCTGTAACATGCAAGGTCTCCATGCCCAAGACAACTGCCTCACCATCTCATCTGCTCCAAAAAATAACCCAGTAATCGACACAGTAAGTCGTCCAGCCCTGCTATAGCACGATTCCTGCCCTTGCCGTGGCCCATGCGGCTCAAACTGCACCCAGTTCCTCCCTACAGCTACTCAAATGCCAAGCATGGCATCTAGCTGCAAAAGCACAGCCCACCCATGCTGTTCCTGCCTTTGTTCCAAGTGCGTACCCTAATGCGGCAGTTACTCCAAGATTTGCAATCCAGTTTGAAGCGGTTCCCTCTCCCCCCTCACGAGACCCTAATTCTGGAAATGCCACCTCATCCCACTGCGCTTCACCTAGGGATCAAGGGGATTCGGTTAGCACCGACAAGAAAAAGAAATATTACTATATTCTCAATCTGGAAACACGTCTGTACGACATTTTGGGGGATCTGGAGCACCAAAAGCCACAAATTTCTTTTAGCCAACTTTTACATGCCGCTCCAGAGCTCCACAAGGTGGTTTCCTCTGCTCTCCATAGGCATTGAGAAATTGTTCTGAACAGTGCATGGCCCCTTGTCATCGACATGTCTGCTCCCACAATTAATGTGGACATTTCATGTAAGCAGCCCACCTTATAGTTGCTTACCAGATCTCACTTTACCTACCAATTACATCAACCATGTTGTTCTTTCCAGACTTCAGATCATGCTATTCTTGATCAGCCTGCTCCAGTCAATATTGGCAGAGAAGGAGAACAACACACTATTTAATTGGCAAGTAAGGTGACATCTGCTAGGCTGCTTAGTGGATGGCCACGAATGTCCACATTAATTGTGGGAGCAGACATGTTGACAAAGAGGGGCCACACGCTGTTCACAACAATTTCTCGATGCCCACAGTGAGCAGAGGAAACTACCTTGCAGAGCTCTGGAGCAGCATGTAGATGCTGGCTAAAAGAAATTTGTGGCTTTTGGTGCTCCAGATCCCCCAAAATATCGTACCGACGTGTCTCCAGATTGAGAACATGGCGATATTTCTTTTTCTTGTCGGTGCTATCCTCTTGATCCCTGGTCTCACGAGGGCGAGGGCGGAGAGAGAAGTGCTTCAAACTGGATTGGAGTAACTGCTGCATTAGGGTACACGCTTGGAACAAAGGCAGGAGCCGTATGGGTGGGCTATGGTTTTGCAGCTTGACGTTTGAGTAGTTGTAGGGCCATTGCGTGTGCAGTTTGAGCCACATGGGCCATGGCGAGGGCAGGAATCATGCCATAGCAGGGCTGGACGACTTGTGTGTCAATCACCGGGTTAGTTTTTGGAGCAGTGGAATGTCATGGAGGATTGCCTTGGCTGCCTTGATCACGACGAAGACAGTGAGGGTAGTTGTCTTGGGCATGGAGACCTTGCATGTTACAAATGCTGCAGATGGGCTGGTACTCAACTAGTGCTCATGCATTCAGACACTTGGGAGTGATATGGCTACCTGGAATACACAATACAAAAGAAGTAAATCCCTCGCACGATAGAAAACCAACCTTGGTGATTTTTCAAGATAATAGTGTTGCTTCCAGTAGTGCTTCTCCGCTCAATCACTATCGTCTTGCCATAGGGCAGATGATTGGATGTGGGGCTTGACCCCTTCCAGGTACATTACTTGTTTGTGCTGGAGCTGCTACATAAATGGGTACAGAGGTGGTGATGGATCTTGAAGGAGCTGGGGCTGGATGTGGTAGATGTGACGTGCAGGCATGCAAAGACCTGGCTGAGCTGAGGTACCGGTTTATACATGCAGTGCTCTAATCTGTAATTATTTCGTCTGCAGTGCTAGCATTTAACTTGAGCTGGTGTAGGACTTGGGCATCTGTTAAGATAATGTCCATATCCCTTGCAATGAATACACTAGATATTCTAACGTTCAGTAATGGGTTGAGGTGGTGTCTGGACTTCTCAAATCCAGTTAAGCTGAAACTCAGACATTTTCTTGGTGAGTGTTTCTAAGTCATCATATACTTTGGAGGTTTCTTGTGACTTTGGCAGAGTTGAAGAGGAAGTAGCCATGGCAGGAAGTACATGCTGCTGGAGGTGGCAGTAATCAATGGTTCCAGGAAAAGGTAAGCTTGCTGGATCAGTGAGTGAAGGATGTGCTTGTGATGCTGCTGATGTTTGCAGGGAGGGAAAGGTTGGCAGAATCACTAGAAGACCACAAAGCACTAAAGGAATGGAGTAGAAAGGCTGCTGGAAGCGAGCCATGCTCACGCAGGCTTGCTCCCAACTGAAAGCCATGAAAATAGCCTCAGCAAGTGTTGTGGGAGTCTGGCCCTTCGTGAAGAAAGCCAATTTGGGAGGCAGGCCATTCGTAAAGAAGTGAACCTGATCGTCCTCGCTGGGAGGAGGGTCCTTTTTAGCAACTAGTCGCAGAAACCAGATGATAAAACTTTGTAAGCTTTCGTTTGGCAACAATCAAATGTAGTTAAGTTCCTCACTAACTTGCTGTGTGAATCCCATGGGCCAGAAAGCAGCGAGAAAGGCTGAGTGAAGCAGGTCCCAAGTCGCAATACTGGCTGGTGCAGAACACTGAACTTGGAAATACCACTCCAGAGCAGCATCTTGGAGTGTAGCAGAGAAGAACCAAAGGCAATCAGCTCTTCTTGGTTGGCGATGCCAACAGTCTCAAAGGAATTGAGATGTGCGTCTGTATCATTGCCTGCGATGGGCGAGAAAGAAGGATACCTCATGCATGTAAAATGCCTTCCTGGCAGAGGAGGAATTGGCGGCGGCGGCAGTGGTGGTCCACCTCCGGATCCACCAGCACCACTCATTCTTGTAGGAGTAGAAACTAAGATGGGTGGAGGAGGGGCTGGTGGTGGGGATGATTGGTATCCTCGTCAAGGTCTGGTGGGGAAGAAGGCTCCTAGCTTGGTAATGAGGGTCTTATGTGAGGAGATGAAAGTGGCGTAGAAAGCGCCTGACGTCATGTGTAGTGGGCTGCCCCCTCGTCCTGCTGGCATCGGATTTTGCTCCTCCCACTCTCAGAATCCAGCAAGATTTTAACTAAATGATCGTGCTGCTGTCTAGTTCAATGAGACTACTTGGTTCAGCTCTCCTTGCTCGATCTCTGTATGTTTATTGAAGAATGGGTTTGGGCAGTGCACCACTGAAAACTATGGCATGCAATTCATAAAAAGGTGAGTTTTACTGTGGTAGATTTCACTCACAATACAGTGTGCATGTGGCAGTTTTCTATTGGTTCAGCATTAAATGTCATTTGGATGCCTCATGGATGCCCCATGGATCTTAGCCGATGGGTCAATGATGTCCCCATAATATGAACAATGTGTTACACATAGATGCCACATGACCCCATGACATGGGGATTCATCAGGTCATAAGGTTTAGGAGACACTTCCCTGCCTTAGCGCCTTGCTTTAGTGCTCTGTTATTCGGCATGTTTCTTGGTAGTAGATGTGCAAGGTAATTTGGTTTGCTATGAGTGGTTTGAAATGTTTTTGTAGGCAATGTTGGAAGTGGCTTTGATTTACTACTCGATTGTTCTTTATGGACTTTCAAGTTCCTACCATGAGTATAGTTCCCTCTCTAGTTTACTTCAAATTTGTGTCACTGAAACCTTTTCTTCCAAGTTTATTGGAAGACGTGGAGGAAGATGAGGTGGATGGCCTTCCATCCAATTTTAGTGATTTAGATTGTGGTTCCAGTATGGATAGTGACAACAATGCTCTCCTAGAGGTTTGCTTAGTTTCCAGCCTCCTAGATTCATGATTTACATGTTTCTAGGCCTTCTATAATTTTTTGCAATCGAGGGGATTTGGTAGTCCAGCTACATTTGGCACTTGGATGCACTTGAAGATCCTCGAGACTAAGACTACTGCTTACCTCGCATGCTATCTTAAAATTTCCAAGCCAACACTGTACAAATACATGCGGCTTGTCGATCCAAATTGGAGAGGTGTATATTACAAAGTACCACCCGAAGAGGTACTTCATCACATTCGAACTAACAATGCCATGAATCGAGGTGGCACAAACTAGGGGATTATCAATTCCCGATCTAGCTATCGAACTGGAGGATACCGATTTAGCCGACGCTAAATTCGTGAGGCTTTAGCCACTCACAATCCAAGTAGACTGGAACAAAGGCACATGACAAGGATTCGACGATGGATTTACAGGAACAAGGAGGCTTATGCACTTTGCCATATGAATTGTGAGTATTCTTTCATTTTTGCTTTTTTGTAAGCACATGTGGTAACATGTTTATTGTAGCATATTGCAAGCTTGTAAGCTATGGTTTCTATGTACATGCCATTATTTGTGGGGCAACTCATTATATTGTAGCTTGTGAGCTAGCTACCTCCAAATAATCCTATGCAATATTTAACACATATGCACAAGCTATTCGTCGATTTAGAAGGCCCAAGTGCATCTGGAGTGACAATGCTCCAGAGCACAATGAGGCTGAGAAGGACATGATCCACTGTTAGGGTCTTGAAGCTAAGAGCTTCATACGTGGGACATCAACACGTAATTAGGTACTCACAGTGTTAGAGTTTTTCCAAATAAGGACTCATAGGACTAAATCAAATTTGTTTTACAGCACATAGAGCATTTGTGGAGAGAGCTCTTTGAGTGCGGGTTTTATAAGCACTTTTTTGAGTCTATGGAAGATATAGGAATTCTCGATGTATCTAATCTATGGCACAACCAGAGTCTACATTGTGTCTTTGCTCTGTACCTCAAGAAGGATATTTCATACTGGGTTGCAACCTAGAACCTCCATGAGGTCCGTCCGTATCGATGTGGTGATTACTTCAGACCATCTCATGTTCTTGCAAACTTATTTCAACCGATGGAATGAGAGCTTGAGTAACAATTTTAGTAATGTTACAGAATTTCTGATAAAATGTGCTTTTGTAGGATTATGCTGACTATTGGTGGAAAAGATATTGAAGACCTTCCGGGACTATTTCTCTCTAATCTGGAAGGTGCAACTTTGTCAGAGGTAATTTTTAGAGCAAGAATACAACAATTTCTTTAAATCTATTTTATTGTGCTTGGCTACCTTACAGGCTCTTGGCACTGTTCGAAACTAGGCATTTTTTATGCATCGGGAGGGACTCAACTTAGACGAGCAATATCTACTTCATTTGGATCTAACAATGGAATGTGCAATGGCTGATGTTGCGGGTGTAGATCTACCACTTTACATCGAGAGTGCCTTGCCTACAGCAACACCAGTGAAGCGACGAGCTTTGGAAAAATTATACTTGGCCATACTCGAAAAAAATTGAGTGTTCTTTAGTGTACATTTCAAATTTAAATTCAATTCCTGATTTGTTCAATTTTAGGGTTCCCATGTTTGGGATTAGGGTTTTCACCCAGTCCCACCCATATTAATTGTGCCTTGGATATGGGGCAATTTCATTTTATGACATGATTTTGTCGATGGTTCGTTCGTTCTTCCAATCGATTCGTGTCATCTAACCAGAGGCAAGGCTTCTAGTGCACACTCCCCCGATTGCAGGACCACCCCCAAGCGAGAGCACCACAGCTGTGATGGTGGGTAGCTTCTCCTCGATCAGGTTTGCATAACTAGTCCTTTGTGGTTTCTAGGCTCGAAGCAAGAATGCTGCACGCCTCAACAGTAGTAGATACTATGCAGGAAACACCTCACAAGCACGCAGCTAAGCACTCGATGTTCCACAATCGGTACAGCCAACAATCCCACAAGACACATGCTAGCCACTTGATTTTCCAAGCTCCGCAGCAGGGACATCAACTCCAACAACATCCCATCCACAGCTCCTGACTACATTTGAGCAAGCAGAGTGCCGCCTAACATTGCATACATTGCAACATATGCAGAACCTTCAGCATGTTTCATTGTCCTCGCCTTCCTTGGAAAGTAGCAGCCTGAGCATTCCAAATGAGCAAGTCCGGACGTCTCATGCCCACGGTGTTGTCCAATCTGGAACGCTGCCACCAACACCAACTACAGGACGTGCTCACGAAACCCTATATAGTGCCACTGCTACCAGCCCCGCAACTCCACTAACTGCTACAACTCTCACAACTCCATCTACCGGTACAAGTGCCAGTACCTGGCCATCTACCTCATGAAGCAACAAGCAGTCTAGCTTGGTAAATTTTTCATTTGTACCCATTTTTTTTTCCATGTGTTTTTCTGCATAGGGTGAGTTGACAATGCCGCCACACTAGCGAGCTTATAGTTCCCCATCAGCATTCCACAACTACTCCCAAGGATCGACATCATCATCTAGTGGAGCTTCGACATCCAGATATGTTCAAGCTGACCCTCAAGGTGGGCTGCCATGTAAGCCACAGGTATAACATGACCCCATGCACTCTTCATTTTTTTCTTCTTTGGATTTGTTTAACTCATTTTTGTTTCACTGTGCTAGACTCTCTCACCACTTGTGGCTGCAGTGCACACCTATGCCGATAACAATTGGCAGTCCTTATCTTGTCGTCGTGGACGTCGTGGCAGTTGATCCAAAGTCATTGGTGGGATGTCGTCTACAACACCCTTGGTCCCTCGGCCGTTCACCACAGTTCTTGTCACCAAGTGGATTGCAATCCTGAAGACTTGTCATGTACACTTGTATGGGCGGAAAAGAGAGCCATCTGTGAAGGTGACAGAACTTGACGAGCTGGCAGTGGGCCTCCCAGAGTGTCTCATATGGGGTGGCTTATACTCCAGTATTCCTTTCCAACCCGGCACAGCCCAACATGTGATTCTACTATCACTCCAAGCCTCAGGAATCCAACCTTCATCCATGACCAACCCAGGAGCATTTATCTAGCTTGCAAGGAAGTCCAATGGTGGTGAGGCCTATGCCGAGTCTGCAAAATTTGGCCTCAGCTCTATTCGGCCTTGCTACT